GCCAACTGAACCATGCCAGAATTCGCTTTTTCCAACCGTCTCTTCTTTTCGTTTCGTCTTTGATATGTACTTCTAACAAAAGGATCAAATTTGCCAACAAACAAAAGAATATCCAAAAAATTCTCATGATTTACACTGTCAGCAATTTGAACTCAGACTCTTCTGCACCTTTGTAGCTAAATCCACTCTTATCAAAAACTTTTAAATTTTCTTTAACCTCTTCATCATGTCGGCGCGTATAAATCCTTATAACATCTTTGGCATTGATTTTTAAAACATATGATTCTGTGCAGGCTGTCTGGAGAGCACTGCTTTTATGTTCTGATATTCTTTGATAAATATACTTTTAAAGTTATATCCACTAAAGAACCTTGATTGATCTGAGGCTTTGATAAATGATAGGCAAAATGAACAAAACAGTTTTTGTGTCCTTGCCAGTGAAAAGACCTCTTGTTTCTGAAATAAAACTTGTGTTAATTAATTTTAACACTTAGATCAAAGTTGTTTTTCTTTGGATGAAATTTAAAAAAAGATTTTAAAAAAATAAAAAATTTAAGCAAAATCGCTAAAGTTTTTATTCACGTAAAGCTGACCAATTACTGAGTAAACGCAGTTGCTCATTTTTATTCACCTGGCCTAATGTTTGCAAATTTGTTCGGCGCACTTATGCCAGTTCGGTTTTTGTAACTGATTCGCACTTATGCCAGTTCGCACTTGTGCCACTGCTTCGCACTTATGCCAGTTTGCACATATGCTAATTCGCGCTTATGCAGCCTTCCGGTTATAATATGTCATGAATTAACATTGTACAATATAATTTGTAGTTTAAAAAAGAAAATGCTTTTCAAGTTTTTTATACTGTTACTTTTCAATTAATTTCATAATGAAGGGTCATATTTGTAAAATATTACACCTGTGATTGTACTCTGCTCAAATGATAGCTGTGGTTAGTAATTGATCGAAGGTTGTATTTTTGAAAGTAAGCCTCTGTAAAAATATCATAAAGTACTTTTGGCAGCAAGTTCTTATTTCTACACATAAACATTAGTACTTAAATGAATTAAATTTTGATACTCAACTTTTGCGCGTTTTAGATCTACAGGAAAAATTCCATGTTTTAAAGAAAAATAAAATGCGTAAAAAGAGTATTGATACATATTTTATTGATTTGATATTGAATTAATTAGTTTCAAAAACATAAACTTTTGTCAAACTTTAACGAAGATACTGAAACTATTTGATCTTCCTCGATGCCATATTAAGTGTGAAAAAAAGCTTATTTGTGATGGTTCAATTTTATTAGATGGTCTAATATTAGTTTCTTCCTTTTTGAGAAACATTTTTCTAATAATCATGGAGGAACTTTTTTCTTCTTATAAAAAGACCTAATGGTTTTACCACAAAGCACAATTTATTTGGGAAGTTCACGCTCCTTTCTTTATCAATGTTTTTTATATGACGGTAGGTAGCATCAAACCTAGGAACTCTTGATTTGAAATCAAACCTTAACCACTGCGCCACCTACTGCTTACTAGGAGAACTAGAAGCGTGTGAAAGTATCGTTATGACGGTCAGTTTAATCTTTTAGTTATTTCAAAACATTCGGTCACGTAACGATCTATTATTAACGTACAAGTAGGAAAATTTTATATGAAAAAGTAAAAATTATTAAAATTTGTTATTTTTTCACGTAATTAAATCAAGTCAACAATGAATTTTTTTTGCGTTATTTAAAGCCACAATATATATATTTTTTAAAAACTATAGTTTTCGCGTTTAGTTTTAGAAATATTAATTAAAATAGGTGAAATTTATTTCAGTTAATATAACCCAAACTAAACGCGCTTTGCAAAAAATCATTCGTAAAACAGAGTTACTCTTGGCATACCACTAATGCTATCTGCGGCGTATCATCTTTTAGCTAAACCAGTGTCAATATATATATATATATATTTTTTTTTTTTACGTAAAAGTATACTTTCGATTAGTGGAAAGACCAAGAGGTAATGGCCCCGCCACCCTTTTTTTTTCTAAAGCCTTTTTTTGTTATTGTTGTTTTCGAAATTTCTAGATACAGAGGACTTTTTTTAGAAAATGACGATTGTGCCCCTCCTCTTCAAAACTCGCGTTGTCGGCCCTGATTATCCCCTAGTTTCCCTACTAATTCGAAAAAAAAAAATTTTTCAAACAAAGTTGATCGTGGAGTTTTCAAACAAAGTGGTTTGATAACTTATGCAACTGATTGTTTAGAATTTGTTAAAACTTTTTTAGAAAAATCTAATAGCATGGTTATGATATGGTTTCATCAATAGAAAACTTAATAGTATAGTTATTATATGGTTTCATTGATAAAACTCTTGCATAGATTTTTAATAATATCATGTCTATTCTGGTTCAGAAAATAAATGCTGGAATCAAATTTGTTTTCTTACTGGGTAATTTTTATATTGTTTTGGTACAATCAAACAAAATTCCGACATCTGAATTTTTTAAACTTACCGTTATAATATTTGCTTTTTTATCAGTTTTTCCAACAAAAACATCACTCTGCTACAACCATTGACAATATTTATTTTTATTTTAACTACTGACAAAAATTATTTCAGGAAATTTGACAAATTTTGTTTCTCATCACTTACTCAACTTAAATTATTTATATTATGCCATTTTTTTATGCATTCAAAAATTATATCGTTCAAATTTTAAAAACATTGATGATCTAATATAAAATAGTGTTACTATTTATACGTCTTAGGTAATAGTCACATATGTCCTACTTGCGGCTACAATACTTACAAAACTTAATTATAATAAATATCATAAACACACATGATCAACATCTACTTTATCCCATAAATCGTGGCTATCTAAATTTTTTTGTCGGGATGGAATACTGTTATCATTTTAGGATTGGTTCTTTTAGTGATGGCTTTTATTTATTAGAAAAGTCTAAACGCGCATTGTTAATGCATCCAGGCTTAAGACTTTGTTTTATCGTTATAAATTTGTATATCTTTTTTTTTTCTACAGATACTGCATTGATGATTGTTCATGTAACTTGTATTTATCTTTTTTTTTTTCTTTGATTAATGACAATGAGCAAACTTTCTTCTAAAGATTTTAATTTCTCGCGTTTAAAATTCACTTGCCGTTTGCTTTATTTTTTATCTTATCTATTTTTAATGATTTGCATTTATAAAACGGAATAAAAACAAATATACGATGAGTTGCAATGTTATCAATATTGAGTTGCACTTTTGTAATCTTTTGGCATTATTTGACACTTTGTTGTCTCGCTTTTGACCCATCCCTATCTTATCATATATCATATATCTTAACTTTTAGATCTTATGAAAACAACCTTTTATAGAAAATTATCTAATTAACATTTATTAATAAAAACAATATAAATAACAGCTGGGTTTAAAAGAAAGTAGAATGGAAATCCATTGTAAAAGTTGTGCGCCTTTTTTTTTTTTATTACAACACCATCCGATGTATATATATATATATATATATATATATATATATATATATATATATATATATATATATATATATATATATATATATATATATATATATATATATATATATATATATATATATAAACAATTTTAAATGTATTCTATAAAAAGAGTGCTCAATGTTCTTAAAAGAACAGAGCAATTACAAATTAGTAGAAAATAACTTAGCAAAATGAGAAAAAAATTTGCTAAGTGATTTTCTACTAATTTATATATATATATATATATATATATATATATATATATATATATATATATTATATATATATATATATATATATATATATATATTTACGGTTAACGATGAGCTCTAGTAACTACGATGATTGCAAATTGTCCAGTAGTTATTTAAATTTGTCAACTGATGTTACCTTGATAACATTATCGGGGAAGCATTTCAGTCACTGAAAAATTTATGTCAGACAGTTCCTAACAATCTTTAGGATGAAATATAATTTGAATATAAGCTCTGGGTGTTAAGCTACTCAACGTGCCACTCAATTAGATTTAAATTGTTGAGAAGCTTATACTGTTGAATAAGATTACCTATTTTCCATTTGTCTTCAAGAGTGGTTAAAATCATAATTTTGCATTGAAGTTTTTGGTCTTTTTTTAAGCCTTTGAAATTTTTGGTATTTTTTTAAGCCTGACAAACTTTCGTGGCGTTGTGTAGTAACTTTTTTTTCTCTTCACCAACAAGGTAAAGGTTTCAAGCTTGTATGGCAAACTCGAGATGTGGTCTAACATATGCAGAATCATATAAAAAAAAAGTAAATAGCAACTAGCAAATAAAAATATATCTATATCTATACAACGTGCATAAAAACTTTTTTATTAATAAACAAAAAAATAATAATAGATTTTGTATTGTATCTAGCTTTATAAAAAATCGTTGAATTCTCATAATGAAAAAACTTCAAATTGAGCCTTGTAACCCATGCAAAAAATAATTTAAAAAAAAAGGTTTTTAATTTAATTTCTCGCATCATTTGAAAAAATTTGTTTTCATATTTTTTAAGCATTTGAAAGATTTTTAAATTATTTGAAATTTTTGAAAAATATTTTAAACATTTGTAAAAAATTTTAAAATATTTTTTAAATATTGAGAATATATATATATATTTTTAGAGGTTTTATTATTTTTTTTTTCGAAAAAAAAAAAATGCAAACGTGACACCTTACATTAACAAATTATTTAAAAAAGACTTTTTAAATTAAATTTCTTTTTCACAGTTTTTTGTTTACCGTTGACAAAATAAGAAATGCTGTAGAAAAGAAATAAAGTTTTTAAAATTTAGATTCATGAAAAAATAAACCTTAGAAATCACAAAAGCAGTCAGAATCATTTGGTTGGTTAGTTATAGGTAAGTGTTTATATGATGTAACTTATTGATATTTGTATAATTTGATAGCTATTTTTTGATCATTTGAAATCATTTAACAATATTGTGCATAAAAATTATTCGTTTGAATATAAGGATATCCAGGTTATGAAACACGAGTCTTTATAAACAGCGAATCTTTTATTTGAAGTTCAAAACTTTGTAGGGAATTACAAACATTTGAAGTCTTTGGAAACGTTTCTACCTTTGGCGTGAGTTTTATGATGAATAATCTTTTACTGCTATTGGTAGTGATAAATGCAACGTGTTTTGTAGAAGGTAAATTATAGTTATGTAGAAACTTATTATATTTTATTGAAAAATTTTTATAGTAAGAAATGCTGTTATAATAATATGTGTTATAACAGTCTTAATGTTAATATAATATTTTGTATAAGTAAATGCGTCGAGACTGCATTGGTCGCCAACGTTGTTTTTTTATCTTTTTGGTTACATATATATATATATATATATATATATATATATATATATATATATATATATATATATATATATATATATATATATATATATATATATATATATATATATATATATATATATATATATATATATATATATATATATATATATATATATATATTATATATAAATAATTATAAACAATTTTAACAAAACTACAAAAAGTTTTAAATAGTTGTGAGGAGTTATATATAAAAATCAAAAACATGCTTGAAAAAGTTTAAAACTCAAAATCATTAAACTTTTTAACATAACTTTTTAAACGTTCAGCTAATACATTTTTAATATTTGCAACTACAAAATTTCAGCCCCCTTTTCTTTAATTATCTGCCACCATTTTGCAGTGCACAATCTCGCCTGTCCCTTAAGTAGCGTGTTTTGTGCTGCTCTAATAGCGCTACTTATTTTCATCCCCCTCCCCTTCATGTTTGTAAAAGTAATTGTAGTAGAACATATTATGCTAATTCAAAATTGTATAAACAAGTAGCACAGTGGGTCAGAGTTCGGTTTTTCTGGAAAAAATTTATAACTAATTTCATATTAACTAAAACTTGCATGAGTACTAATATGATATCTGCACTTCTCATAGAACTGTTATTTTTTATCTTGTTGCAATGGATACCTTATTTTGCTTAGCAACAACCTATTTTTGGTATTTGCTGATATTTTACGAGTGTTATGTTCACTAAACTTGGTGTGAGTACCAATATGAGGTCGTGCTTCTTATAAGAGTAACTATTTTTTATTTAGTTGCTATGGATACGAATATTACTTAGTAACAAGATTTTTCCTTAATTACATAGAAGTAAATTGATTTATGAGTAAGTTTTATCAAATTTTCAACTCACCTATTTTGAATAAAAATTAAAGTTTTAGACAATTAATGTTTTATCAAATAAAAAAGCAAAATAAAATATACAAAATAATACAAAAAAAAAACACTTATACAAAATTACACTTATACAAAATAATGCAAAAAAAAAAACATTATAAACTTATACAAAATAATGTTAAAAAAGGTTAAAAAAATATTAGACACATACAAAATAATGCAAAAAGACACATACAAAATAATGCAAATGCATAAAGACACATACAAAATAATGCAAAAAAAAATACAAAAAAACATTAACAATTTGAAATTACATCAAAAATTAACAAAATAAAAATTTAAAGATTGATTAAGTAGTTGTAAAACATGTGAAGGAAATGTTTCATAATTTGTTTGGTGTGATATTTATTTACGTATTGATGAAAAAATAGGAAACAAAAAGTTTATTTATCAGATCAGTATTTTTCTGAATGTTTTTTGGCTGGAATTTTCGCTGAAAGTTTTAAAGTCATTCTTTCTAGCCTCTCATGATTTTTAGACATAAGTCCTATGAGTAATGTCTTTGAACTATGTCATGTCCGTGTATCAATATTTTGTGCACAGATTAAACTATCTAATACCACAAATAAAGGAAAACATATAGTCTAATAGTGTCAAAACAATATTCCTTGAACTTTAAGCAATCTGTTTCATATCCTGAATATAGTGTTACTAAGATAATATAAAATGTAAAAATGTGATTTTGATCAATATCCTTTTCAGAGTTTCAGCAGTTTTTTCATATGCTACAAAAGTTTGAAGCATTGTCGTCATTGTTTGTTTCATAGCCACCACTTTTCGTGAAATTAATAACAAGTCCCATTTTAATTAAAAAATCAGTCTGAGTCTTTTTTTTAGTCCCAGATACCTTTCCTATGTGTTCTTTAGATATTACTTGTGACTTTTCTGTTTCTTTATGTATGCAATGTACAAAATCATTTCAAAAAGTTAAATCCATGCATTAAGATTGGAAAGACCATATTTGAATTCTCTGTGAGTATAATCTGTATTAAGGATATTTTTGGAGAGACACCACACACTGAAAAAAGTTGGCGAATTTAATTTAAGTTGGCGAATTTCGGGCAGTTTTCTGAACATTTGCCGTAAACGTTATAGAATAAAACCAAACAGCCACCAAAAGTATAATGAGCTCAATTTAGGCAGCCAACTGTTTTATCTACAAAATAGTAATAATTTGGGCAATTATTAAATATATTAGAAATTTTTATAAACCAATAAAATAAAAAACAATTAATTTATTTTAAAATAAACGTCAGGGTTAAGAGGCTTCTGCGATATGACTTTTTTTGAGAGAAGCTGTTGATACATTTTTTTTTTATTTTCGATGTGTTTTCTCTCGCTTTTTTCTTTCCTCCTTTTCTTCATTTTGTTTTTTTTTTTCTTTTCTTGAACAGCTTGTTGGTGGTTAAAAAATCGATTCCACTGACAGCAGTTTGCGTCTTAACAAGCTTCTTTGGAATTTTTTTGCTTATTACTACATTTTTTGAAATCGTTAGGTAGTTTTTAAATGGAGTTTTTAAATTGTTGAAGCGAACAGACGCGTTTTTAAGAAAGAAAAAAGTTTTAAAAACATATAAACATTTAAATACATATCTTCTTATAAATCAATTCAGCATCCTTGTAAATCATTATGGCTTTGACTCTTCAAGAAATAAAGAAAATGTTTAAAGAAATGTTCTGTGAATTTAAAAAAGAAATGTTTAATGAGTTTAAAAAAGAAACCGAAGCTATGTTTAAAAAACACGAACAAACAGTTCTAGACATAATCAGTGGAAATCTGAAAATTTTAAACGAAAGATTGGACAAGCTTGAGACCAATGCTAATGAAAATGTAATAAAAATCAAAAAAATTGAAAAAGAAATTGAAGAAATAAGCGATAGCATAAACTTTAACGAAAGCATTATTGATAAAAAAATCGAACACAATAGCAAACAACTAGAAAAGGAATTAATCGAAAACGAAATTTTAAAAGAAAAACATCGAAAACTTGAAGATCGTTCACGTAGAAATAATCTACGAATAGATGGGTTATACGAAGACGAAAAAGAAACCTGGGGACAAACAGAAGAAAAAGTCCACTTATTTTTCAAACAAAAACTTGGTGTTGAAGACATTGAAATTGAGCGTGCCCATCGCACTGGACAAAAGAAAAATGGAAAACCTCGGACAATAGTCCTCAACCTTCAACGATATAAAGATAAAGTAAAAATACTGAAAGAACTACAACGAATAAAAGGAACAAACATTTTCGTTAACGAAGACTTTTCACTCGAAACCGTTGCCATCAGGAAAAAATTGTTTACTGACGTAAAACAAAGACGTTTAAACGGAGAGAATGTTGCGGTTCGGTATGATAAAATTATTTGTTTTAAAAATTCTTTTTATGATAACAATAGAAAAAAGTAAACTAATTCACACTCTTAAAAAGAACTCTTTTAAACATTTATAAAACAATCATGGCTGCATTAAATAATTTTGAATCTCTCGCGTTTAATTTTTTTGAAAAAGGATTTTTTTCTCAGGACGAAAACTCAGATCCCGACAATAATTTTTATTGTGAGACTTTTTCAGATTGTTCGTATATTTTTCCAAGCGAACTAGAAGAGTATCTTTTTAAGAATGTTATTGACAAAAATTCGAATCAAATTAGAATTCTCCACCTCAATATAAGAAGTCTAAATAGTAACTTTGAAAAACTTTTAAATCTAATAGAAGAAACGAAAAACCTTTTTAATATAATATGTTTAACAGAAACGTGGATTACATCAAAAGATCTAAATAGTCATTTTCAAATTCCGCATTTTAATATTATTTCTTTGGAGAGACAAATAAATAAACGAGGTGGTGGAGTACTAATTTATGCGCACGAAACACTTAGGTTTGTTTTTAGAGGCGATTTGAGCATTTCTGATAGCGACAAAGAAGTCTTAACAATTGAAATTGAAAACAACCAAACAAAAAACTTATTAGTTAGCTGTTGTTATCGGCCACCTGCTGGCATGAGTGAAAACCTTAGCATGCTTTTGCATAACGTCATTAAAAAAGGCGATACCGAAAAGAAAAAAAATATTTTGCTTGGGGATTTTAATATGAATTGCTTTCTTTATAACAATGACTATAAAGTAAAAAGTTTTTATGACACATTTTTTGAAACAGGATCAATCCCCCTCATTAATCGCCCTACCAGAGTAACTATAAACTCAGCGACTTTAATCGATAATATTATTTCAACTGATATCTTTAATAAGGGTATAAAAAAAGGTATATTAAAAACTGATATAACGGACCATTTTCCCATTTTTGTAACAATTGATACATATACAGCAAAAAACATTGACAACAAAAAAGTATTGAAGAAACGTATCATTAATCAAAATAACCTTAATTTATTCAAAGACCAACTATCCTTACTCCATTGGAATAATATTAACATAAACAATAATGCAAACGACATATATGAAACTTTCTTCAAAACTTTCTATTCTGTATACGACGCTAACTTTCCCGTAGTTGAAATAATAGCAAAACCAAAGAGTTTGAATTCTCCTTGGATTACCAAGGGGTTTATAAAATCTTCCAAAATCAAACAAAAGTTATACATAAATTTTCTAAAAACAAAAACAACTGCAAACGAAAAAATTTACAAAAACTATAAATATTTATTTGAGAAAATTCGTAAAAACTTAAAAAAAAAATATTTCTCGGAATTACTTAACAAATTCAAATATAACACCAAGCGCACTTGGGAAATAATGAAGGAAATTATAGGAAAACAAAAATCATGCTTTGGTTTTCTCCCACAAATGATTAAAATAGAAAACACTAGCATATTTGAACCAAACGCTATATCACATGAATTTAATAAATTTTTTACTGAAATAGGTCCTAAACTATCAAATAAGATTCCTATCACAAGAACTTTGTTTAGTGACTTTTTATTATCCTTGGATAAGTGCATATGCTCTGATGAGCTATCCTCTGATTTATCTATTGAAGAACTTGAAAAGGCGCTCAAATCTATTAAAAAGAATAAATCATGTGGACCAGACGAAATAGATGGAAATGTGATAATAGTTTGCTTTAAGCAACTAAAAGATGTTCTTTTCAAAGTTTTTAATGCCTCAATCAAACAAGGAATCTTTCCAGAACAATTAAAAATTGCCAAAGTTACACCTATTTATAAAGATGGTGACCAATCCCAAATAACTAATTATCGCCCCATCTCTGTGCTCTCTGTATTTTCAAAAATCTTAGAAAGAATTATGTACAACAGAATATATAAACACTTTGACAAAAATAACCTACTCTATGTTAATCAATTTGGTTTTAAAAAGGATAGCTCAACAGAGCATGCAATTATCCAACTTGTAAATGAAATTTCAAAATCGTTTGAACAATCAAAATATACATTAGGTATTTTTATCGACCTATCGAAGGCCTTCGATACGGTTGACCATCACATCCTACTCAAAAAACTGGAATACTATGGAGTAAATAACCAAGCGTTAAGGTGGTTTAGAAGTTACTTAACAAATAGAAAACAATTTGTTGTTGGTAATGACAACTATCACAACAATTGTTTAAGTATAACCTGTGGAGTTCCACAAGGTTCAATCCTCGGACCTCTCCTTTTTTTAATTTATATAAACGATTTAAATAAAGCAACTAATCTGATGAGCATCATGTTTGCTGATGATACTAATTTATTCATCTCTAAGAGCGATATTGGCGAACTTTTTGTCACAGTGAATAAAGAACTTAAAGTTTTATCCCACTGGTTCAAGTCCAACAAATTAACTTTAAATACTGACAAAACTAAATGGACTCTTTTTCATTCGAATAGGAAAAAAAAATTTTTACCCCTAAACTTGCCTCCAATCTTTATTGATGAAATTGAAATAAAAAGAGACTCCGTTATTAAATTTTTAGGTGTTTATCTCGATGAGAACATTAATTGGAATCAACATATTAACTATATATGCACTAAAGTCTCTAAAAACATTGGAGTTTTGTACAAAGCTCGAACTTATCTCAATAAGAAACACTTAAGGCAACTTTATTTCTCATTTATTCACTGCTACATAAACTACGCTAATATTGCCTGGGGAAGTACTGAAAAAAGTAAACTACTTCGTCTTTATCGCTGTCAGAAACGAGCAATTCGCATAATTAACTTTGCTGATCGTTTTTCTCATTGTAAACCTTATTTTATTGAGATGAAAATTTTAAATGTATTTCAACTCAACGTTTTAAAAATTTTATGCTTTGCTTATATGTGGAAAAACAATCTATCCCCCCCAGTCTTTAAAGATTTTTTTAGTTTAAAACCCAGCAACAAATACACTCTTAAAAGAAAAAATTTCTTTAACGAACCTTTTTGTCAAACAAATTTTAATCAATTTTGTCTTGCCTATCGTGCACCGCACCTATGGAATAAACTTGTTTTACCTAATGTTGATTTTGATCGACCAAATTCTTTTTGTCTTTTTAAAAACAAAATTAAAAATCTAATTTTTTCCCTCGATAACATTTTAGAGTACTATTAATTAATTTATCTTTTATTTAAATTTTTAATATTTTTTCCCTAAAGTTTTGTTGTTAACAACTATTTATATTTAAAGATTTGCTAATGTAAAAGTTCTATATATATATTTTACTTTACTATAACGTATACTTTACAAGGTATTCGTAAATTATATTGTTTATAAATGTTTTTTAAGGTTCCGATGATAAGATCTTAGTGATCTTCTTTCGGAAACCTAGTTTACACTGTTATCACGATTTGTATATATATATATTTGTAAAGTAATTTTAATAGTTTATTGTATTGTAAAACGACTAACTTTGTAAGCTGAAAAAAAAAAAAAAAAAAAAAAAAAAAAAAAAAAAAAAAAAAAAAATTGAAAATACTACCAATATTCGTAAAACTTATGAGATAAAACTGATGGTTAAAACTAGGTTATGATATGGTGGTCAAACTTACCCAGAAAAATTTAATTCTTCAGAGATTAGATTATTGGATTCTGTAGTTGTTGAGATAATAATGTTCGTGGACTGCATAGGTTTGACACACGCTATGTTTGTTTGAGTATTATTATACTTGCCGGGAATATAGTTATTGCAGGTTTGTACTTCTGTAACAAATGTGGTTTGTGTTGCGACTTCACATGATGTTACGGTATCTGGATAAAAACTAAGCAATTTTTTAGGAGTGGAATTTTTTTTATTTGAATTAATGTGCAACCACTTATACATATTCCGAAGTAGTCGCATCACTCTCAACGTCATAGCCTTCTTCTATTCGTCTTGGAAACGTTACCAGGACATTCTCCGGTAATAACAATTCCATTTTTTTCAAGCACCTCAAGAAAGTAAACATTTTTGTCAAGCAATTAGAAGATCTATAAGATTCGTTAATGGATCGCCCAAGAACATAGTCAAATGGATTTACATGGTCTAAATTGTAACGAGGCTGTGCTCCTGGAAATACAACTAGATGTTTTGATAGTTTCCTTTTCCAGTTTCCGGATACACAGCCAAGAACTGTTATTTGCGTTTTTGTGTCAGAGGCTATGCGATAAACATTCTTTATACCTTTTGAGGTAATTATTTTTTGTCCAAACGTCCTTTGTCCTCCTTTGTCGATGCTCTGTTATATGTTGCTTTTCTTTAATGTCTAAAAAATTTTTTTCAATGCTTGGTACATCGTTTTGGCAAATACCATATCCTATTTTTGCTGCTTTAATCAAAAAGTCTTTTATTCTTTCTTTGTCCTTGTTTTCTAAAGCAGGTTTGCGACCTTTAAGTAAAAAAAATATGTTAACTTCTTAAAATATCATATGCAATTTTAATGCTTATGGAGAATTACATCTAGCATAGTAAGTAAATAAATATTTTAAACAAAACTGACCAATCTTTTGCATGGCGGAACCGTATCTGCTATTTATTCCATCACCATTTGTCTGAGAAGGTACATTATATTTTAAACTTTCCTTTCTCCATGAAAAATTATTGTCTCGAACATCAGCAACAGCGGCCATAACAGCTTCCTCGTTATATTTTTGGTACTTCTGACTTTTCTTAGAGTCCATAGTCACAATAACAAACTTGTAACTTATATATTCTACTATGATGATACTATATTTTTAAAAAGTTGAAATTTGAATTCAAATATTGCTTAGTTAAAAGAAATCCAGCCATGCGGATAATTTCGCAGCTGTTGGTTTAATTTTTTTGTTTTGTCTTAAAAACGTCACTAGTAACTTTAAAAATGCTATGAAAGATAGCTAAAACCATAAAAGCATTCAAAATCATTGTTAGGTAAAAATAAAATAATGCACGAAATTTAATACTGTGTAAATTAAATTTCGCACGAAATATGATGCTTTCGATAATTCGTACAGAAATTTTTTACATCATAAAAGTATATTATTATTTTTTTTTTTTTTTTACCTTTCCAAACATATTCGTTAAACTTGGGTGAACGATTAGTACCTCTTTCAAAGAAATGTCGTACTTCATTTTTGTACAGTTGAAAAAGTTCAAGTGTAAAAAGATTTACGTTTTTTCACTTTACGTGAAAAACCGATGTATCGTAACTTATAACTTATAATAGCTTTTTTAATATAAATATTTCGACATGGTGTTACCGACATGGTGTTAGCAGTAACTTGATGCGGAAAGGTTGTAGTAACTGAAACGTTCAGCAACACTTTGATTAAATTAGCGTCAGTGTGATTTTTTTTGATGCGAAAGGTTGTTTACACGAAATTTGATGCCGCCCGAAATTTGCCAACTTACCCTATAGCTCAATCAAATTTTAGACAGCACATGGCAAGTTGTGTTATAGTGTAATGTTATAATGTATTAGTCATTAGTTATAGTGTAGCAAAAAAAAATTTTCTTATAGATTTTTTTTAACCTGTTATCTTCACAGATGTAATCGAAATATCACTCAACGTTGATCTCACCGAAATTACTGATATTCTCGCAGTCGGAAATACGTCATAATCTTTGCCGCGAACAGCTACAATTTTAGTTGGGGGAAAATAAACTTTCTAAATTCTCTAAAATTCTTTTAGAGAATTTAATAGTTGTAAATAAACTTAACTAACAATACTTTGTAGAGAAAGCTAATGTTTATAACGGAATTCATGTACTCTTTTTTTTATTGTATAAAAAATAATTGTTTTTTTAGCACTTAATGGGCGGGCTGGTTCTGTTTCTTTTCAATCAATTAAAGATGGAAAAAAGTATTTACGTCATCAAAACTTTGTAATTGGCTGAGTAGAATTCTATTTTCAACTTGCACTAACCAAAATTTTTAAGTCTTTAATTAATATCTAACCCAAAATATGCATACATAAACTGACCCCTAAGTGTTGATTTGTGCACACTTAATTATGCTTATCTTTATATGAATTGCTAACTTAAAAAAGGGACATGTCCTGCAAAAATTCACATAACATGTCCCCTTTTTCAAGTTAGCAATTCATATGACATTTGATATATGCACATCTAATAGATTGATGTATGCACATTATTTAAGCAGCTGAAAATGTACATTATTTAAATGTCTATACAAATTTGAAATAATGTACATGATGTACCTACATTATTTAAATAGCTGTATAAAATTCAATGTATGTACATCTAAATAAATATGTACATCTATAAGGTCCAAAAAAAAATGTTATTAAAAAAGTGTTCAAAAAAATATTATTCAATTAAATCTAAAAAAGAGTTGCATAGTTAAGAAAAGATTATTCTGAATGATTAAAAACAGTGTTAAACAATTTTTTTGAAAAGATACATAGAATACCAGCATTATCAGTGTTTTTTTAAACTTTAATATTATATTAGAGTACTATCCTTAAATTATTAAATTCAGGAAAAAATATTTTTTATAGATGATTTTGTAAACAAAAAATTAAAAAATTTAATGAATTTTAAAATATTTCAATTATAGTCTCTTTAGAAAAATTACCAAGATAAGTCTTAATAATTCTTGAATAAGTTGCATCTCTGTATAGTTGATCTTGATTGGTTTAAGATATTTCAAGACAAGACCAGTTTAGTCTTGTGCAACTTAGTCTTAACTTGTTTTGATTTGTTAAAAAGCAGTTAAAAAAATCTTGAAGATCCTTATTAAATAGGATATATATATATATATTTTTTTACACATTAACTTAACAAGCAACTGATCTCTGATAAAAAAAAAATTTTTAAATATTAACAGCGCGTAAAAGACATTATTACTACGATTCAAAAAGCAAGCCAAGTCCACAATATATTGACAAAATCTATTCATTTGAATCAAATAACTATCCACAACATAGAATTGGTGTGAGGAGTGATGCAACAGCAGCTATTATTTTATATGGCATTGAGGAATTCCGCATTGTTAAAGGTAGGCTTGATTAATTAACTTCAATTTGTCTAACAAATTTTTACATTTGTTTTTGTTCATTAATTTTTAAATTTTATTCACTATTCTTTCTTAAACTCGTTCATACACCAACATAAAACATAAAAACAATTATATTTTAGCGTTAAATGGGAGAGTTGATTCAATTTCCATACAGTCTTTATTAGACAGCAACAAGTATTTACGGCATCAGAATTTTATTCTCAAACTGCATTCAGTAGAAAACTCTGAACTCTTTAAAAACGATGCTTCATTTATCATTCATAATGATAAATATTACTCAAACTACATTTCACTTGAATCCACAAATTATCCTGGTTATTTTGTTAGACACCAAGACTATACTTTAAAATTACATAAAGAAGAGCCTTTATCAGAACTTTATAAAAGAGATGCTAGCTTCAGACTGGTTCAGCTTGGAATTAGTAAGTATTTTTTTTAACCAATAAATTATATCACTTTTTTTTATTCATAAAGATATACATTTATTATGGATCTGAAGTTTTTTTACGAAATAATGATATTTTTAGAGGGTAGAGATGTTTCTGCCCCCAAATAATTTTATCAACTAGTTCCTCCTCCACCCATGCCTTTATTATTATAATCATAAGAAGGGTTTGTCGTTGTTTTTTTTATGAATTGAAATTTTTAAAAGCAATTTAAATCACAAGTTTAGCAATTTGTTTGTTTTTAATTTAAAAGCTCTTATTGGAAAACAATTTTCATTTCAATCTATCAACTACCCTCAATATCAAATTGGCATTAAAAGTGATGGTACTGCAGCTATTGTTTTAAATAGCTTGGATGGATTTCGCATTGTAAAAGGTATTCTTTTTAAAGAATTTATTAGTTGTAAATAAACTTAACTAACAATACTTTAAAAAGAAAGATAATGTTCATAACGGAATTCATGTACTCTTTTTTTAATTGTATAAAAAAATAAAATGTTTTTTTAGCACTTAATGGGCGGGCTGATTCTGTTTCTTTTCAATCAATTAAAGATGGAAAAAAGTATTTACGTCATCAAAATTTTGTTCTCAAGTTGCACGAAGTAGATCTCATTTCCGAGTTGTTCAAAAATGATGCTTCTTTTATCATTCGCAATAATTATTATTTCCCAGACTATGTTTCATTTGAATCCACAAATTATCCTGGCTACTTTCTCAGACACCAAGATTATACTATAAAATTGCATAAAGAAGAACCTAATGTCGAACTTTACCAAAAAGATGCAAGTTTCAAGCCTTTGCAGATAGAACTTTGTAAGTAGACTATATGTGAAATAGTATCACTTTTTACTAGCTAATGTTTGTTTTATTTGTTTTGTTCGTTTTTAATATATTCTGTAAATCAACCTAATCTTATCTATCGAGATGTGAATGATTTTTTATTTTACGCTGCGTTTTTGTTTGTTTGTTTGTTTGTTTGTATGTTTGTTTGTTAGTAAAACCTATCACTTTAGTTTGATTATTTCGTGAATTCAATGCTTAAAACAGTAATTGCTAACAGAGAGTGAAAAATGTTTCTGCACTTTTATTTTTCAATTTCTATAACGTTTTTAGTTAAAACTATAAAATGTGTTGTGTATATGCTTCATACTGTTTATGTATTTGTGCTTGCAATATTTTAACATGCATTAAAAATTTGCTTAAAGCATCGATAACAACACGAATTGAAGAGGTTACTTCGGTCGAAGTAGAAAAGAAGTTAAGCTTTATTGGTCAAGCTTTTTCGTTAGAATCAATCAACTACCCACAATATAGAATTGGTGTTAGAGATGACTCATCTGCAGCTATACTTTTGTTTGGTGTTGAAGAGTTCCGCATTGTCAAAGGTAGATGTTGTAGAAAATATTTGAACACAAACAAGCGTTCAAATGTTATAAAATTTTTCTAAGTAGTATTCTTTTGATAGTAAAAAAAACATAGTGAAAAGTTTTAGTCCAACTGAGTAAAAAAACAAAACAAATATTTTTTAGCATTGAATGGAAGAGAGGATGCTGTTTCTCTTCAGTCAGTAGTAGAAAGCAACAAGTACCTGCGTCATCAAAATTTTATTCTCAAGTTACACTCAATAGATAACTCAGAACTCTTCAAAAACGATGTTTCTTTTATCATTCGTAACGATAAATATTACACCGGCTACATTTCATTTGAATCTACAAATTACCCAGGTTATTTTCTCAGACATCAAGACTATACCGTGAAATTGCACAAGGAAGAGCCATCTGTGGAACTGTACAGAAAAGATGCAAGCTTTAAGCTCGTTCAGTTGGGTGTTTGTAAGTTGAATTTAGAATTGTTTTCTTTAGTTAGTAAACGGTAGTTTTTAAATGTCTCATAATAGCACTCGATTTATTTCAATATTTTACCTCTATTTTGTAAGCTCTTATTGGAAAGCAATTTTCGTTTCAATCTATCAACTACCCGCAATATCAAATTGGCATTAAAAGCGACGATACTGCAGCTATTGTTTTAAATAGCCAGGATGGATTTCGCGTTGTTAAAGGTGCTTTTTTTTATGAACTAACTTTGAAATTGAATGAGCAGGAAATCAAAATCAAAACAGCTTTACATAATTATAAGGCGTTTTTTGTTTGTTTGCTTTTTAAATATAATTAAAATCCATATTCATTATGCGTTTTGACTTTATTAGCTCTTAACGGCCGAGCTGATTCTGTTTCCTTCCAATCGATTAAAGACGAGAAGAAGTACTTGCGCCACCAGAATTTCATTCTCAAGTTACACCCTGTTGATCTCAGTTCTGAGTTGTTCAAAAATGATGCCTCTTTTATTGTTCGTAAGGGTTATTATTTCCCAGGTTTCGTTTCGTTTGAATCCACAAATTATCCTGGCTACTTTCTCAGACACCAAGATTATACTATAAAATTGCATAAAGAAGAACCTCTAGTTGAACTCTTTAGAAAAGATGCAAGTTTTATGCCGTTGCAACTGGAAATTTGTAAGTAGACTATATGTGAAATAGTATCACTTTTTACTAGCTAATGTTTGTTTTATTTGTTTTGTTCGTTTTTAATATATTCTGTAAATCAACCTAATCTTATCTATCGAGATGTGAATGATTTTTTATTTTACGCTGCGTTTTTGTTTGTTTGTTTGTTTGTATGTTTGTTTGTTAGTAAAACCTATCACTTTAGTTTGATTATTTCGTGAATTCAATGCTTAAAACAGTAATTGCTAACAGAGAGTGAAAAATGTTTCTGCACTTTTATTTTTCAATTTCTATAACGTTTTTAGTTAAAACTATAAAATGTGTTGTGTATATGCTTCATACTGTTTATGTATTTGTGCTTGCAATATTTTAACATGCATTAAAAATTTGCTTAAAGCATCGATAACAACACGAATTGAAGAGGTTACTTCGGTCGAAGTAGAAAAGAAGTTAAGCTTTATTGGTCAAGCTTTTTCGTTAGAATCAATCAACTACCCACAATATAGAATTGGTGTTAGAGATGACTCATCTGCAGCTATACTTTTGTTTGGTGTTGAAGAGTTCCGCATTGTCAAAGGTAGATGTTGTAGAAAATATTTGAACACAAACAAGCGTTCAAATGTTATAAAATTTTTCTAAGTAGTATTCTTTTGATAGTAAAAAAAACATAGTGAAAAGTTTTAGTCCAACTGAATAAAAAAACAAAACAAATATTTTTTAGCATTGAATGGAAGAGAGGATGCTGTTTCTCTTCAGTCAGTAGTAGAAAGCAACAAGTACCTGCGTCATCAAAATTTTATTCTCAAGTTACACTCAATAGATAACTCAGAACTCTTCAAAAACGATGCTTCTTTTATCATTCGTAACGATAAATATTACACCGGCTACATTTCATTTGAATCTACAAATTACCCAGGTTATTTTCTCAGACATCAAGACTATACCGTGAAATTGCACAAGGAAGAGCCATCTGTGGAACTGTACAGAAAAGATGCAAGCTTTAAGCTCGTTCAGTTGGGTGTTTGTAAGTTGAATTTAGAATTGTTTTCTTTAGTTAGTAAACGGTAGTTTTTAAATGTCTCATAATAGCACTCGATTTATTTCAATATTTTACCTCTATTTTGTAAGCTCTTATTGGAAAGCAATTTTCGTTTCAATCTATCAACTACCCGCAATATCAAATTGGCATTAAAAGCGACGATACTGCAGCTATTGTTTTAAATAGCCAGGATGGATTTCGCGTTGTTAAAGGTGCTTTTTTTTATGAACTAACTTTGAAATTGAATGAGCAGGAAATCAAAATCAAAACAGCTTTACATAATTATAAGGCGTTTTTTGTTTGTTTGCTTTTTAAATATAATTAAAATCCATATTCATTATGCGTTTTGACTTTATTAGCTCTTAACGGCCGAGCTGATTCTGTTTCCTTCCAATCGATTAAAGACGAGAAGAGGTACTTGCGCCACCAGAATTTCATTCTCAAGTTACACCCTGTTGATCTCAGTTCTGAGTTGTTCAAAAATGATGCCTCTTTTATTGTTCGTAAGGGTTATTATTTCCCAGGTTTCGTTTCGTTTGAATCCACAAATTATCCTGGCTACTTTCTCAGACACCAAGATTATACTATAAAATTGCATAAAGAAGAACCTCTAGTTGAACTCTTTAGAAAAGATGCAAGTTTTATGCCGTTGCAACTGGAAATTTGTAAGTAGACTATATGTGAAATAGTATCACTTTTTACTAGCTAATGTTTGTTTTATTTGTTTTGTTCGTTTTTAATATATTCTGTAAATCAACCTAATCTTATCTATCGAGATGTGAATGATTTTTTATTTTACGCTGCGTTTTTGTTTGTTTGTTTGTTTGTTTGTATGTTTGTTTGTTAGTAAAACCTATCACTTTAGTTTGATTATTTCGTGAATTCAATGCTTAAAACAGTAATTGCTAACAGAGAGTGAAAAATGTTTCTGCACTTTTATTTTTCAATTTCTATAACGTTTTTAGTTAAAACTATAAAATGTGTTGTGTATATGCTTCATACTGTTTATGTATTTGTGCTTGCAATATTTTAACATGCATTAAAAATTTGCTTAAAGCATCGATAACAACACGAATTGAAGAGGTTACTTCGGTCGAAGTAGAAAAGAAGTTAAGCTTTATTGGTCAAGCTTTTTCGTTAGAATCAATCAACTACCCACAATATAGAATTGGTGTTAGAGATGACTCATCTGCAGCTATACTTTTGTTTGGTGTTGAAGAGTTCCGCATTGTCAAAGGTAGATGTTGTAGAAAATATTTGAACACAAACAAGCGTTCAAATGTTATAAAATTTTTCTAAGTAGTATTCTTTTGATAGTAAAAAAACATAGTGAAAAGTTTTAGTCCAACTGAGTAAAAAAACAAAACAAATATTTTTTAGCATTGAATGGAAGAGAGGATGCTGTTTCTCTTCAGTCAGTAGTAGAAAGCAACAAGTACCTGCGTCATCAAAATTTTATTCTCAAGTTACACTCAATAGATAACTCAGAACTCTTCAAAAACGATGCTTCTTTTATCATTCGTAACGATAAATATTACACCGGCTACATTTCATTTGAATCTACAAATTACCCAGGTTATTTTCTCAGACATCAAGACTATACCGTAAAATTGCACAAGGAAGAGCCATCTGTGGAACTGTACAGAAAAGATGCAAGCTTTAAGCTCGTTCAGTTGGGTGTTTGTAAGTTGAATTTAGAATTGTTTTCTTTAGTTAGTAAACGGTAGTTTTTAAATGTCTCATAATAGCACTCGATTTATTTCAATATTTTACCTCTATTTTGTAAGCTCTTATTGGAAAGCAATTTTCGTTTCAATCTATCAACTACCCGCAATATCAAATTGGCATTAAAAGCGACGATACTGCAGCTATTGTTTTAAATAGCCAGGATGGATTTCGCGTTGTTAAAGGTGCTTTTTTTTATGAACTAACTTTGAAATTGAATGAGCAGGAAATCAAAATCAAAACAGCTTTACATAATTATAAGGCGTTTTTTGTTTGTTTGCTTTTTAAATATAATTAAAATCCATATTCATTATGCGTTTTGACTTTATTAGCTCTTAACGGCCGAGCTGATTCTGTTTCCTTCCAATCGATTAAAGACGAGAAGAAGTACTTGCGCCACCAGAATTTCATTCTCAAGTTACACCCTGTTGATCTCAGTTCTGAGTTGTTCAAAAATGATGCCTCTTTTATTGTTCGTAAGGGTTATTATTTCCCAGGTTTCGTTTCGTTTGAATCCACAAATTATCCTGGCTACTTTCTCAGACACCAAGATTATACTATAAAATTGCATAAAGAAGAACCTCTAGTTGAACTCTTTAGAAAAGATGCAAGTTTTATGCCGTTGCAACTGGAAATTTGTAAGTAGACTATATGTGAAATAGTATCACTTTTTACTAGCTAATGTTTGTTTTATTTGTTTTGTTCGTTTTTAATATATTCTGTAAATCAACCTAATCTTATCTATCGAGATGTGAATGATTTTTTATTTTACGCTGCGTTTTTGTTTGTTTGTTTGTTTGTTTGTATGTTTGTTTGTTAGTAAAACCTATCACTTTAGTTTGATTATTTCGTGAATTCAATGCTTAAAACAGTAATTGCTAACAGAGAGTGAAAAATGTTTCTGCACTTTTATTTTTCAATTTCTATAACGTTTTTAGTTAAAACTATAAAATGTGTTGTGTATATGCTTCATACTGTTTATGTATTTGTGCTTGCAATATTTTAACATGCATTAAAAATTTGCTTAAAGCATCGATAACAACACGAATTGAAGAGGTTACTTCGGTCGAAGTAGAAAAGAAGTTAAGCTTTATTGGTCAAGCTTTTTCGTTAGAATCAATCAACTACCCACAATATAGAATTGGTGTTAGAGATGACTCATCTGCAGCTATACTTTTGTTTGGTGTTGAAGAGTTCCGCATTGTCAAAGGTAGATGTTGTAGAAAATATTTGAACACAAACAAGCGTTCAAATGTTATAAAATTTTTCTAAGTAGTATTCTTTTGATAGTAAAAAAAACATAGTGAAAAGTTTTAGTCCAACTGAGTAAAAAAACAAAACAAATATTTTTTAGCATTGAATGGAAGAGAGGATGCTGTTTCTCTTCAGTCAGTAGTAGAAAGCAACAAGTACCTGCGTCATCAAAATTTTATTCTCAAGTTACACTCAATAGATAACTCAGAACTCTTCAAAAACGATGCTTCTTTTATCATTCGTAACGATAAATATTACACCGGCTACATTTCATTTGAATCTACAAATTACCCAGGTTATTTTCTCAGACATCAAGACTATACCGTGAAATTGCACAAGGAAGAGCCATCTGTGGAACTGTACAGAAAAGATGCAAGCTTTAAGCTCGTTCAGTTGGGTGTTTGTAAGTTGAATTTAGAATTGTTTTCTTTAGTTAGTAAACGGTAGTTTTTAAATGTCTCATAATAGCACTCGATTTATTTCAATATTTTACCTCTATTTTGTAAGCTCTTATTGGAAAGCAATTTTCGTTTCAATCTATCAACTACCCGCAATATCAAATTGGCATTAAAAGCGACGATACTGCAGCTATTGTTTTAAATAGCCAGGATGGATTTCGCGTTGTTAAAGGTGCTTTTTTTTATGAACTAACTTTGAAATTGAATGAGCAGGAAATCAAAATCAAAACAGCTTTACATAATTATAAGGCGTTTTTTGTTTGTTTGCTTTTTAAATATAATTAAAATCCATATTCATTATGCGTTTTGACTTTATTAGCTCTTAACGGCCGAGCTGATTCTGTTTCCTTCCAATCGATTAAAGACGAGAAGAAGTACTTGCGCCACCAGAATTTCATTCTCAAGTTACACCCTGTTGATCTCAGTTCTGAGTTGTTCAAAAATGATGCCTCTTTTATTGTTCGTAAGGGTTATTATTTCCCAGGTTTCGTTTCGTTTGAATCCACAAATTATCCTGGCTACTTTCTCAGACACCAAGATTATACTATAAAATTGCATAAAGAAGAACCTCTAGTTGAACTCTTTAGAAAAGATGCAAGTTTTATGCCGTTGCAACTGGAAATTTGTAAGTAGACTATATGTGAAATAGTATCACTTTTTACTAGCTAATGTTTGTTTTATTTGTTTTGTTCGTTTTTAATATATTCTGTAAATCAACCTAATCTTATCTATCGAGATGTGAATGATTTTTTATTTTACGCTGCGTTTTTGTTTGTTTGTTTGTTTGTTTGTATGTTTGTTTGTTAGTAAAACCTATCACTTTAGTTTGATTATTTCGTGAATTCAATGCTTAAAACAGTAATTGCTAACAGAGAGTGAAAAATGTTTCTGCACTTTTATTTTTCAATTTCTATAACGTTTTTAGTTAAAACTATAAAATGTGTTGTGTATATGCTTCATACTGTTTATGTATTTGTGCTTGCAATATTTTAACATGCATTAAAAATTTGCTTAAAGCATCGATAACAACACGAATTGAAGAGGTTACTTCGGTCGAAGTAGAAAAGAAGTTAAGCTTTATTAGTCAAGCTTTTTCGTTAGAATCAATCAACTACCCACAATATAGAATTGGTGTTAGAGATGACTCATCTGCAGCTATACTTTTGTTTGGTGTTGAAGAGTTCCGCATTGTCAAAGGTAGATGTTGTAGAAAATATTTGAACACAAACAAGCGTTCAAATGTTATAAAATTTTTCTAAGTAGTATTCTTTTGATAGTAAAAAAAACATAGTGAAAAGTTTTAGTCCAACTGAGTAAAAAAACAAAACAAATATTTTTTAGCATTGAATGGAAGAGAGGATGCTGTTTCTCTTCAGTCAGTAGTAGAAAGCAACAAGTACCTGCGTCATCAAAATTTTATTCTCAAGTTACACTCAATAGATAACTCAGAACTCTTCAAAAACGATGCTTCTTTTATCATTCGTAACGATAAATATTACACCGGCTACATTTCATTTGAATCTACAAATTACCCAGGTTATTTTCTCAGACATCAAGACTATACCGTGAAATTGCACAAGGAAGAGCCATCTGTGGAACTGTACAGAAAAGATGCAAGCTTTAAGCTCGTTCAGTTGGGTGTTTGTAAGTTGAATTTAGAATTGTTTTCTTTAGTTAGTAAACGGTAGTTTTTAAATGTCTCATAATAGCACTCGATTTATTTCAATATTTTACCTCTATTTTGTAAGCTCTTATTGGAAAGCAATTTTCGTTTCAATCTATCAACTACCCGCAATATCAAATTGGCATTAAAAGCGACGATACTGCAGCTATTGTTTTAAATAGCCAGGATGGATTTCGCGTTGTTAAAGGTGCTTTTTTTTATGAACTAACTTTGAAATTGAATGAGCAGGAAATCAAAATCAAAACAGCTTTACATAATTATAAGGCGTTTTTTGTTTGTTTGCTTTTTAAATATAATTAAAATCCATATTCATTATGCGTTTTGACTTTATTAGCTCTTAACGGCCGAGCTGATTCTGTTTCCTTCCAATCGATTAAAGACGAGAAGAAGTACTTGCGCCACCAGAATTTCATTCTCAAGTTACACCCTGTTGATCTCAGTTCTGAGTTGTTCAAAAATGATGCCTCTTTTATTGTTCGTAAGGGTTATTATTTCCCAGGTTTCGTTTCGTTTGAATCCACAAATTATCCTGGCTACTTTCTCAGACACCAAGATTATACTATAAAATTGCATAAAGAAGAACCTCTAGTTGAACTCTTTAGAAAAGATGCAAGTTTTATGCCGTTGCAACTGGAAATTTGTAAGTAGACTATATGTGAAATAGTATCACTTTTTACTAGCTAATGTTTGTTTTATTTGTTTTGTTCGTTTTTAATATATTCTGTAAATCAACCTAATCTTATCTATCGAGATGTGAATGATTTTTTATTTTACGCTGCGTTTTTGTTTGTTTGTTTGTTTGTTTGTATGTTTGTTTGTTAGTAAAACCTATCACTTTAGTTTGATTATTTCGTGAATTCAATGCTTAAAACAGTAATTGCTAACAGAGAGTGAAAAATGTTTCTGCACTTTTATTTTTCAATTTCTATAACGTTTTTAGTTAAAACTATAAAATGTGTTGTGTATATGCTTCATACTGTTTATGTATTTGTGCTTGCAATATTTTAACATGCATTAAAAATTTGCTTAAAGCATCGATAACAACACGAATTGAAGAGGTTACTTCGGTCGAAGTAGAAAAGAAGTTAAGCTTTATTGGTCAAGCTTTTTCGTTAGAATCAATCAACTACCCACAATATAGAATTGGTGTTAGAGATGACTCATCTGCAGCTATACTTTTGTTTGGTGTTGAAGAGTTCCGCATTGTCAAAGGTAGATGTTGTAGAAAATATTTGAACACAAACAAGCGTTCAAATGTTATAAAATTTTTCTAAGTAGTATTCTTTTGATAGTAAAAAAAACATAGTGAAAAGTTTTAGTCCAACTGAGTAAAAAAACAAAACAAATATTTTTTAGCATTGAATGGAAGAGAGGATGCTGTTTCTCTTCAGTCAGTAGTAGAAAGCAACAAGTACCTGCGTCATCAAAATTTTATTCTCAAGTTACACTCAATAGATAACTCAGAACTCTTCAAAAACGATGCTTCTTTTATCATTCGTAACGATAAATATTACACCGGCTACATTTCATTTGAATCTACAAATTACCCAGGTTATTTTCTCAGACATCAAGACTATACCGTGAAATTGCACAAGGAAGAGCCATCTGTGGAACTGTACAGAAAAGATGCAAGCTTTAAGCTCGTTCAGTTGGGTGTTTGTAAGTTGAATTTAGAATTGTTTTCTTTAGTTAGTAAACGGTAGTTTTTAAATGTCTCATAATAGCACTCGATTTATTTCAATATTTTACCTCTATTTTGTAAGCTCTTATTGGAAAGCAATTTTCGTTTCAATCTATCAACTACCCGCAATATCAAATTGGCATTAAAAGCGACGATACTGCAGCTATTGTTTTAAATAGCCAGGATGGATTTCGCGTTGTTAAAGGTGCTTTTTTTTATGAACTAACTTTGAAATTGAATGAGCAGGAAATCAAAATCAAAACAGCTTTACATAATTATAAGGCGTTTTTTGTTTGTTTGCTTTTTAAATATAATTAAAATCCATATTCATTATGCGTTTTGACTTTATTAGCTCTTAACGGCCGAGCTGATTCTGTTTCCTTCCAATCGATTAAAGACGAGAAGAAGTACTTGCGCCACCAGAATTTCATTCTCAAGTTACACCCTGTTGATCTCAGTTCTGAGTTGTTCAAAAATGATGCCTCTTTTATTGTTCGTAAGGGTTATTATTTCCCAGGTTTCGTTTCGTTTGAATCCACAAATTATCCTGGCTACTTTCTCAGACACCAAGATTATACTATAAAATTGCATAAAGAAGAACCTCTAGTTGAACTCTTTAGAAAAGATGCAAGTTTTATGCCGTTGCAACTGGAAATTTGTAAGTAGACTATATGTGAAATAGTATCACTTTTTACTAGCTAATGTTTGTTTTATTTGTTTTGTTCGTTTTTAATATATTCTGTAAATCAACCTAATCTTATCTATCGAGATGTGAATGATTTTTTATTTTACGCTGCGTTTTTGTTTGTTTGTTTGTTTGTTTGTATGTTTGTTTGTTAGTAAAACCTATCACTTTAGTTTGATTATTTCGTGAATTCAATGCTTAAAACAGTAATTGCTAACAGAGAGTGAAAAATGTTTCTGCACTTTTATTTTTCAATTTCTATAACGTTTTTAGTTAAAACTATAAAATGTGTTGTGTATATGCTTCATACTGTTTATGTATTTGTGCTTGCAATATTTTAACATGCATTAAAAATTTGCTTAAAGCATCGATAACAACACGAATTGAAGAGGTTACTTCGGTCGAAGTAGAAAAGAAGTTAAGCTTTATTGGTCAAGCTTTTTCGTTAGAATCAATCAACTACCCACAATATAGAATTGGTGTTAGAGATGACTCATCTGCAGCTATACTTTTGTTTGGTGTTGAAGAGTTCCGCATTGTCAAAGGTAGATGTTGTAGAAAATATTTGAACACAAACAAGCGTTCAAATGTTATAAAATTTTTCTAAGTAGTATTCTTTTGATAGTAAAAAAAACATAGTGAAAAGTTTTAGTCCAACTGAATAAAAAAACAAAACAAATATTTTTTAGCATTGAATGGAAGAGAGGATGCTGTTTCTCTTCAGTCAGTAGTAGAAAGCAACAAGTACCTGCGTCATCAAAATTTTATTCTCAAGTTACACTCAATAGATAACTCAGAACTCTTCAAAAACGATGCTTCTTTTATCATTCGTAACGATAAATATTACACCGGCTACATTTCATTTGAATCTACAAATTACCCAGGTTATTTTCTCAGACATCAAGACTATACCGTGAAATTGCACAAGGAAGAGCCATCTGTGGAACTGTACAGAAAAGATGCAAGCTTTAAGCTCGTTCAGTTGGGTGTTTGTAAGTTGAATTTAGAATTGTTTTCTTTAGTTAGTAAACGGTAGTTTTTAAATGTCTCATAATAGCACTCGATTTATTTCAATATTTTACCTCTATTTTGTAAGCTCTTATTGGAAAGCAATTTTCGTTTCAATCTATCAACTACCCGCAATATCAAATTGGCATTAAAAGCGACGATACTGCAGCTATTGTTTTAAATAGCCAGGATGGATTTCGCGTTGTTAAAGGTGCTTTTTTTTATGAACTAACTTTGAAATTGAATGAGCAGGAAATCAAAATCAAAACAGCTTTACATAATTATAAGGCGTTTTTTGTTTGTTTGCTTTTTAAATATAATTAAAATCCATATTCATTATGCGTTTTGACTTTATTAGCTCTTAACGGCCGAGCTGATTCTGTTTCCTTCCAATCGATTAAAGACGAGAAGAAATACTTGCGCCACCAGAATTTCATTCTCAAGTTACACCCTGTTGATCTCAGTTCTGAGTTGTTCAAAAATGATGCCTCTTTTATTGTTCGTAAGGGTTATTATTTCCCAGGTTTCGTTTCGTTTGAATCCACAAATTATCCTGGCTACTTTCTCAGACACCAAGATTATACTATAAAATTGCATAAAGAAGAACCTCTAGTTGAACTCTTTAGAAAAGATGCAAGTTTTATGCCGTTGCAACTGGAAATTTGTAAGTAGACTATATGTGAAATAGTTCGTTTTTTAATTTAATAATGTTAAAATTTATGATTTCTTTTTTTTTTTTTTTTTTTTCTAATTTTTTTAATAAACAATATATTCTTTTTATGGTATGGTAATATCCTCGTCCTATGTTTAATATATTCGTAATATATTCGTCCTATGTTTGGCAAAGTTATATAAAATTAGAAAATTATCACTTTAAAACAAATAATTACTTTGTACATACAAACGTTTGCATTCACTTTAATATACTACAATCAATAAAAGATTTTTCTTTCTTTTTGACAGAAATAAAAAAAGTTTATATTTTTATTTACTTTTATGTTTTAGCTGTTTAAGTATGTTCTGACACTTTTATAGTTTTTAAACAATAATTGAAAGACGCTAAACTTAAGCGTTTATTAAAAAATGGCAACACTTTATTATAGTTTTAGTATGTCTCTAAAGAGAGTTTTAATGGAATTTAAAGAGAAATTTAATGGAACATTACATAAATTAGATCACATTGCATCAATTAGTTTAATATTGCTGTAACTATAATTTACAATTGTTTTATTAGTTAAAAGAAACAATATAATCGAGTTAAAATTAATTAATCAATATTTGTACATATTTAGTACTGGGATTAGTGTGGTTTAGGTGCTGACCAAAAGAAATTTCAATTTTAGTCACTATAGCTTCAAAGCATGCTCTTTTACTTATAGCTCATAATGAAAAGTTAATTAAAAATTAAAGAAAATAATAAAAAGTAAAAAAAAATAATGTAAACAACTGCTTCACTGCATCAGGCTTTAACTTACTATTCTTTGTTGTTTAAAAATCAAAAATAGATTGTTAGATTGATACATCGTTGCACTAATCATGGTGTAATGGTGTATCAATGGTGTATGATGTATCAATGATTTATTAGTGGTGTATAATTTATCAATGATATATTAAAAGAGCGGCTCTCAATCTGTATCAGTACATAGCAGATCAAATTTGTTTTGGATAGGGCAACATAACTTTCTTCAAGTAAATCATTTGTAATCAATTGTGTACTTCAAAACGATATCAACAAAGCCTTGTTTTTGTCTGCATTAAGAAATGTAGATTTGACTGTTTCAATATTGATTAATAAATAGATCTATTTTTCTTTTTATTAATTTTCATTAGTAAATTGGTTTTCTCTTTTTATATTTTTCTCTCATTAATTATAATGGTGACCAACTTTTGTTTAAAAAAATATAAATTTAGTCAAATATAGCTTCTTTTTCAGTTAATTTTAGAAAATCAATATTTTGTAAATTTTCCCTGTTTTATTTCATATTAAAGAAAATAAAATTCTTGATCTATTGAAATAAGATTCTATGAAAAATGTTTTCCATCAACAATAAATTTACTGAATGTTGATCAAAGTTAGGCCAACTCACCCTATATTTTTAAATTTTTCAAATAAATTTTTCTAAATATATATAATTACTACTTATATATAGTTTAATAACATTTAAATTATTCATTTATATGTTTTTATCCTTGTTTCTTTTTACAGCACAAATTTCTATAGATTCTTTTGAATCAAGCAGTTATCCTCAACAATTAGGTGGAGTCTACTCATTAGAATCAAACAACTATCCACAACATCGAATCGGTGTGAGAAATGATGAAACAGCAGCTATTATTTTATATGGTATTGAAGAATTTCGCATTGTTAAAGGTATATAAATAATAATTAATAGATTTTGGTTTAAAAGTTAAATTTTATTATTTTTACTTTAAATCAAGTTAAGTAATTATTAAATAATTAATTTAAAAGTTTAAGTATAAAACATTTATAATATATATAAAGTATTTATAATATACATATATATTAATAATATAAATAAATATTATATTTATGACTATTTAAAATATGTGTAAATATTTAGTAAAGATTAGAGAAAAAAATTAACGTTTGATGAAATAACAAAAAAAAACTTTTTAAATTGATTTTAGCGCTTAATGGACGATTAGATTCTATTTCACTTCAGTCTTCAAAAGAAAGAAACAAATATCTACGACATCAGAATTTTATTCTCAAGCTACATCCAGTAGAACTAAGCTCTGAACTATTCAAGAACGATGCTTCATTTGTTATTCGTGAAAATAAATATTATCCAGGCTATGTTTCGTTTGAATCTACAAATTACCCAGGCTACTTTCTCAGACATCAAGATTTTACTGTAAAATTGCATAAGGAAGAACCAAATGTTGAACTCTACAGGAGAGATGCAAGTTTCAAACTTACACAGTTAGGAGTCTGTAAGTAGATTTTATTCTAATGTGGTTCAAAATGTATGTCATAAGAAAATTGCAATACCTTTTAAACCATCGTATTTATGGTAAAATTTAAATTAGTCGCGATCATCTTAAGATGATCGCGACTAATTTAAATTTTACCATAAATACTAATTTAATTTAAAATTTGAACTTTTTTTTATTTGAAGAATATGTGATTTTCAAATTTAAATAAGATCTCAAAACTTTAGTTTTTTTTGAAAAACATTTACATTAGGAGATATAGAAGAATGAAATGAATGCATTGGATTGAATATTGCATGTAATTGATTGAATATTACAAATTATGGAATCGTCATCAAAAAAATGAAAATAAAAAAAGCAAAATAGACTTAATAAATGAAAACAAAAAAAGCAAAATAGACTTAATAAACCCGTTTAATCTTTGATTTAAATTACCGTTATTAGTAACGAAAATCCGATCATTGTTAGAATATTTTTTAAAATTTTTTGATAACTTTTCACGGAGAGTATTTAAATATTTATTTTTCTTTCAATAGTACGTATCGGTGACGAATACATATTTCAATCTAACAACTACCCAAAATATCGAATTGGTATTAAAGATGATGATACTGCAGCTATTCTTACAAATAGTTTGGATGAGTTTCGTGTTGTTAAAGGTATTTCTAAATAATTATCTAAAGAAGTTGTTTAAATTGTTATAAATATTTATTGTTTTTTTAAATTTTTATGCTATTTTTTTAACGAATAATCATAATGACAATTTTTTTTTAGCACTTAATGGACGAGGCGATTCTGTTTCCCTTCAGGCAATAAAAGAAAGCACAAAATACTTACGTCACCGAAATTTTATTCTCAAGCTTGACGTACTTGATCTCGATTCTGAGCTGTTCAAAAACGATGCATCTTTTATTATTCGTGATAATTACTATTATCCCGGCTTCGTTTCGATTGAATCCACAAATTACCCCGGCTATTTTCTCAGACATCAAGACTATACAATAAAATTGCATAAAGAAGAACCTTTTGTTGAACTCTACCGAAGAGATGCAAGCTTTAAACTGGTGCAATCGGATCTTTGTAATTAGACGGAAACATTTTGATTCACACATTTTTTTTACAAAATTTTTCACACATTTTTGTACAAAATTTTAATGATTGAAAAACAAACTAATAACGCAATGTTACCTATCCAACCGAAGATACTGCCACCCACATACACACCGCCATTCTTACGCACAACCATACGCACTCTTTGTATACCTCTTTTCTCGTATACCGCATACCATCACTAACCTGTACAACACTCTATTTATCTATTTAAATTCCCTCCCCTTCTCCTCCCTCCCCACACACACACACATATAACATACTACTTCATGTTTCATAATACTTTTATGACATTATACCTACCCAACATGTTTGCGATATTCATCTATCCGCCTAAATACCGTCAACTTCACAACCCCTTTCTTAAAACAAGAGACTGTTTTATAAATCAATAAAGTTAATATTGTATTTTCTATTTTTCAATAATAAGCATTGTTCAAAAGTAGTTGAGTTTTTTTTACCTACCAAAATGTGATTATACAAAATAACTTAATGCCAAAAATATTTTTGTACAAACTTTGGTCTAATAAACCAAATGCTATAGTTTGAAACTTTGGAGTATACTTTAATTGTTGCAATTTCTAAGTATTATTAAATAAAATTTTTGTATAAGGTAAATGAATTTATAGCAAAATTATAACATCAAAATAAAATCTATTTTTTATCTTTTTAAAATAAAATCAACTTGCTTTGTAACTGAAAAGTATTATGTGATTTGTTCCGTTTTATTTTTTTGTCTTAACGACTTCCCTAGGTTAATGGTTCAAATGTGGAACGATAAAAACAAAAAAAGCTTACGTTATCTAAATAATGTCGTGTCTGGTTGAATATTTTTAAATTTGGCTATCTTAATTTTGTATTTCTTTCTTTTTTTTTTTCCAAGCAATCAAATTCTAAATTTTTGCAAATTTTATTTGAACATAATTATTTTATTTTGCATTGTTAAAGTCTGTTGGTTCTCATTCGTATCTATTCTACACCTTTACAAGATGTAATTAATACCATGAAAGTTATTAAACGATAAACGATAATTTTCATTTACTCGTCTAGATTAACCAATTTATTAGTCGAAAAAGAAACATCGTTATAGCAGAGCTATTACGATGCTAATAGCTAATCGAAACGAGTTCCCTTCGTACCGAAGTACTATTCATAGGCGGAGCAGGAATTTGAAAGTGCAATCCTGCTGCTGCGGCCAATAATTCTTCCGAACTTTTTAGCAGTGTTTTAACCAACTGAGCTATCCCAGCTCATAAGAAATCGCAACATATAATTGAGAAAGTTCATTAATAAACTCATTAAGAACATTTATTAAGAAATCAAAATAAATAATTAAGAAACGCAGCATGTAATTTAGACATTGTAATTTTTAATTAAGAAACACAACATGTAATTAAGAAGTTGTAAAATGTAATTGAGAAACACAAATAATTAAGAAATCGCAATATGTTGTTAAAAATACAATAATTGTAATTAAGAAATCGTCATATCTAAATGAGAATACATAATTTATAATTGAAAATTCACAAATGTAAGCTTATAGGTCATTATAAAAGGTCTTCTGGAATATGAATTTGAATAAGTTAATAATATCAAATTAAGCATGAATATACATCGGCAATAATAATGGATTCATTATTATTAAGAAATGGATATAAGCGTATTTGGTGAAATAAATGCTGAATTCCATGGAATTAAAAGATCATTTTTAAATTAAAATTCCATGGAATTAAAAGATCGATTTGTAACTGTCAATACACTATGACCCAAAAGTCTGTTTTTAAATTGAGTTCGTACGAACTCAAAAATTTTTAAACAATCTAAATGAATGCTGACACTATCGTGTCAGCATTCATTTAGATTGTTTAAAAATTTTTGAACCAAAGAAATTGACTGAGGATCAAATTAAAGAAACGCTAACATGGATTAAAAATGACTGTCAATTAGCATTATTGACCATCAAAGCAAAAATATTAGGACAATTTAATATCAACGTAAGCAAAACCGCAATCGCCAATCACCTCGAAGACAGATTGTTTAAAAAATTTTAAAAAATGCAGAAGAAACCTTCTATAATAAACAGTCATGAAAATAAACAAAAGAAGCAAAAAAATTACAAATGGTCATCAGATAGTTTGGTTGAATAAAACATATTCTAACATTTTTTGTAAAAAAACTTGCGTTTTTTGTAAAAAAAACGCAAGGACGTACCAAACTAGGAAAAAGAGTAACGAATAAAATAATAAGATGCAAACATACATTTGGTTGCAGCTGTACCAACAACATTATAGAAACTCGCAGAGAATCACTTAATGCACATTCCTATAACGAGTGGATGTTGGCTATGTTTTAGCAGTGGGCAACATCCGGGAATCGTATGGTCACCGTAACAGACAATGTTCCGTGTCACGCTCTTTTAGAAAAGATGTTTGAAAATTCACCAGTTCAGTTGTTACTTTCAGAACCCTGCAGTCCAAAGTTAAACTCGGTAAAAATAATCTGGTCTAAAATTAAAAGTAACGTTAAAAATGCGATGCGCACTCCATCTGTATTGGGTGCTGTGGTTCTGAAACAACAAGTTCAGGATTTGGAAAGAATTCTTACTGTGGTATAAAATACAACAATGGGAGGTGATTGTGCATGTGCTGTACAACATACAACCACGTATTACGCAACGATATTTAATGTAAAAGACGTCCAAGTTGATTTTTGATGATAATTGTTTTTAATTTAATTCAAAATTCAAAGTTTAATTTAAATTTAGTTCAAAATTCGAAACAATTCAATTTAAATATTTATATATATATATTTTTTGTAAATAACTTATTTGTGTTTTATTTATTATTCATCTGAGTTCTCAATTGCATTTTTTTTAAACAAACAAACGAAAAAGAAAGTTCTAACCCAGCGGGCACGGAAACGTCCATATGATGTCGAAAGGACGTCTTTTTAGGACGTCCGGAACTGGTTCTAAATGGCAACGCCAGATGAGGTCTTTTTAAGACGTAATTAGGACGTCTCTTTAGGACGGACTAAAGACGTGTTTTTAGACGTCTAAAATACGTGAATTTAGGACGTTCAGAACCAGTGCTAAATGGAAACGCCAAATGACGTCTTTAAATAAACTAATTTAGACGTTCTCATTTCGACGTTAAAATACGTGTTTTTACATGGCTTTACTTAAACGTAAGGTTCAAATATATGTTTTCACAGAACTTCTTGAGAATAAGAAAAAAATAATAAATCGTTTAAATTTTTTTAATAATATAATTGTGATGAGTTTTATAAATTACAATTTTATAAACTTCTTCTTCCACTTGTTAATTTCCAAGAATCGAATGTTCGAACAGTTGACGTCATTCACCTTCTTTTCGATCAGGTTCACTCTTTAAAATATTATCACCAGCATTTTAAAGTTGTTTTTTTGCTGTAGGAATCAGGGGAGCAGTCTTAACCCTAAAAAAATATTATCAAGATAAGTATGTAAAAATAAAGGGGTTAGAAAGAAATAACACACACACACGCACGCACACACACACACATATATATAATTATTATTTTACAAACATAACATTTATTTCTCAACTCTAAATTGATTTTTTTAAAGAAATTTTTGACTGGATTGTTGTGACCAGCGTATATATTTATGTATATCAAGTATGCAATATAATTGCGGTATTAAAAATGCTCTATTTATAGTAAAATTATACTTACTTTGAAAGCATGCCATTCTCATATGCACTGCATGATGAGCCACCAACATTTAATAATTTCTATTTCTAAATTCAAAAGATAACACTAGTGTAATTGAATGAGACAATTTAGTGTAAGTTATATTGGGCATAGAACAACCGTCTCGATTACCTAAAAAGTAAATTATTTTCATTAACAATAAAGTGCGCGAGTAGCCTTCTACAATGAACAATAAAAAAAAATAAAAAAAGAGTGGATTATGTTAGGAATATTAATGAAAATATTGCTAATGGTTGTCTGGTTGGATGAAACAATTTTTAACCTTTTTTTGTAGAAAAATACAAATACAAGGACGCGTCAGAAGAGGAAGAAGAGCAATAATGAAAAAAACTTCAAAAGATTCAAAAGATATGAATTTGATTGCAGCTATATCAACAACAAATGGCGTCATGGAAACTCGCAGAGGATCATTTAAAGCAAATTCTTGTAACGAGTAGATGTTGAAAAGTTTAAGCAATTGGTTATCTCCGGGTATGCTTGTCACACTTGTTTGGAAAGAGTTGTTATACCAATAAATATACCAGCTCAGATGTTTTGTTTGGGACCCTACAGTCCAAATGTTAAGCATGGTGGAAACAATCTGGTCCAAAAATTAAAAGTACCATTAAAAACTCAACTTGTATTTCACCTGGGTTAGGTGCTGGGATTGTGGTACAACGAATAAAATATTTAGAAAGAATTGTTAATGCGGCAAAAAATACAAAAATGGGAAATGATTATGAACGTTCTGTACAATATATAACCACCCGATACGCAATGATTTTAAATATATAAGACGTCCAATAGGGTGGAATGAAAATAACTTTTTTCAGAAATACAACTATTTTCCCTGATTTCTATATTAGTTATAAAAAAACTAAATAAATGAGTCTAAGATGAGCGAAATTGGACAAAAAATACCCCCCGTACTTTTGGCAAATTAAGGCAAATTTTTAGAATTCGTCATATATGACGTTTTTTATTTCATATAATAATTTGTAGTACTTTTCCTTTTGAATGCTTTTTTTTTCTAGTTTATTGACAAATTATTTTAAAGGAGGTTTAGAATGAGGAACAATTGCATTTACTACATATTATTTACATCCATAGAGCCAAAATTGTACTAAATAATTTTATAGTTTGCCTGGATGTTAATTATTGGCATATTTTCTCAATTTCTTTTCATATCACCACAAACCGAGCTAGAAACAGCTGTTATCATCTTTACACAACGTTCTACAGCTTCTGTGTGGACAATAACTTTTCCGAAAGATCAATAAGTTGAGTTAATCTTCTTTTGCTACTTCCAATTGCTCATCAGTGAGCTGTATTGTTCATAGATGTATTTTTTCCGGGAATTTTTTGGAAAAAAAACTCAGAAATTTTTGGAAACTTTAAAGGAAATTTACGTGTAAAAACTCAACTACGATTGTTAGTGGTGGCTCTGCCCACTGTAAATTACTTTATTTAATCAAGTCCGTTAATTTAATTCATCAAGTTCTATGCCGTAAAATGATAGTAGGAACTTTAAACTGTCGCACAATTTTTCGATTAACTTTCTTCTTCAGCAAGAAGTTTCTGTTTGCTTAACTTTCTTCTCTCTGTATACGCTGTCAAAAAAGCAAAGCTGGTCTGTAATGAGCATTTTTCAGTGCACTCTCTGGCATTTCTACATTATAGTTCATAGATTGAAAATTAACAACCTTTAAAAGCTTATAAGTTGCAAGAGACTTCCTAATAGAGTCTGAATAAAATTTAAAACCAGATTTTGGTCTATTCAACTCCACAAACGTATGATGTAGTGGAAGCTCATTTGCATATAGCAAAAAAAATTAACTATTATAGATGCTGTTGAAATTTTAAACTCAATCAATCAAATAACACTACCCTCGCTTCCAGTGTTTGCATTAGTTCCCTCATCGCTTAGCACTTGCAAAATATTAAAAATGATTTTGTGCTCTTTAGAACCGTATAGAACTTGAGATTTTAATGCTTCAGCTGTTTTGCTAAAAAAAAAACAGTATCTCAGAAAACCTCATCAAGGTTCCTAAATCAAGGATAGGCGCTTTTCCATCACTATGGTTCTCTTTTTATTGAAAGTCTGGTCATTTATACCATCAAATACAACGCCTTTACTTGAACTTCAAGTTAACCATGGTTTTCAAACGCGCACACTTTATCTTGCTTTGGTCAATAACTTTGTTTGTCATCATGTGAAATAATGCAAGCATCCTCAATTACAGCTGATGTCATAGGTGTAGCAGAAATAGTAAAATCTAGTGGCACTACATCATTGAGCTCTGTTTGCTTCAAATACTCTTCAGTTTTTTCTACTTTGTCTTTTGATCCAATAGCCAATTTTAAGTTTACTTTTTGTTTCTTCCAGAAAATGTGCTCCATAGCTAGTACTATATTAACATTGCTATAGTAGCATAAGAAAAAACAAAATAAAAAATTTCAGCTCTATATATAGAGCTGAAATTTTTTATTTTGTTTTTTCTGTCAGCAGTTGAAGGTTTTTGCTTTGCTCAAAAAAAAGCAAGAACAGCTCTCTTTGTCAAGGATGTAAATGATGACACATTGTTAATGTTGCTGTTAAAGCTGGTTTAATCTTATTTTTGGTTTCTCCAGGAAGTTACTGTAAAACTGTAGTATTTATTTAATTGTAGTATTATTTGAGAAATGATATGCAGTATAGATTGCTTACACTTTCTCACTAATACACTATATGGCGCATTACATCTAGTCCCGTTAGCAGTTGCACCTCAAAGTGTGGAATTTTAAAATAAAAGATGTTTTGTTTTGTATCTTAACATTCTATTTACTGAAATATATTTAGCAAAGTATTATTATAGTATTGTCAAAGTATTAGTCAGTATAACAAAGTATTAAACTTTACATAGAAACGTCCATAGTTTTAACAATTTTTTGATATTAAAAACATAAGAAATACAATTTAATTTTTTCGATTGCTACCGATATTAAGTAATATTAGTCAAAAACTGCTGCAGGGGGTAATTTTTGTCCAGTTTTGCTTATCTTGGTCTCATTTTTTTAGTTTTTTTATAACTAATATAGAAATCAGGGAAAATAGTTGCATTTCTGAAAAAAGCTATTTTTTACTAACTTAACTTACACCCTAAGGTCCAAGTTAGAAAATTGCAGTAATTTTTTAAAGACATTGTTTAAATTTAATTTAATTTTAATGTTTTTTTGAAAATAAATATTTTATAATTATCTGAATACCTGAAACACCTAATGGAATTTTTCCAGTTACCGCCTCATTGTAAAATGTTTTTTCATGAATGTTTTATTTTATTGATAATTTTTTATTATTTATTGATAACCAACTTAGTTGGCTTAGCTTAGCCAGAGGAGGATCCAGCTAAGACTAAAACTACAAGACTATAAAATCAGAAATTAAACTTTGTTCTTATTATCTATAATATAAACATTTATTTAAAGACAACTTTCATGTTCTCATTTAGATCTTAGAAAAGGGTAAACCTTATACTATTTGCTACACTTTCTTTTCTTTTTTTACGACATTTGGACTTGCGACATGAAGTTCATATTTAGACAAAGTACGGTTTCTTATTCTTAAATCAAATTAGTAAGACAGCCAATTTACTAACGAGCGAGTCCGAGGCAAATTGGCTTTTAAACTGGTTTTCGTTATAAAAGTTTTAAAAATGATAAAAGCGATTTTAAACCTTTACGTAATGCTGAAAGCGATGTGGCTTTTGCGGTTGCGTAACCATAGGAAGTTTTAAATTTGATTAAATAGTTTTTGTATTGAAAGGAAATGGCCATTACTTATAAACAAAAATTTCAAATATTTAGATCGTTTATGTGTAAATATATATCTGAAACGAGTAAATTATAATATATTATAAAAACTTTTAAATTTCAAACTTTAAAATGTTATCAGATGCACCCTTTGATTATTTTGATAATCTTTTCGAGGACTACTTAAGTGAAAAACCAGATATGAAATCTTTTTCAATTGGACAAAGTGTATTTCCTCTAACTCATGTACACTCAGAAGATGATTTTTCAGATTCTGGTCATGGAAGTCCTGGATCATGTGTATCTACGCGTTTATCTAATTCTCCTGTAAGATTTAAATTGGTTTTGTTACAAAATTGTTATTAATGTTACATAATTAAAAATGTTTAACATAATGGTTTTTTGTTTTGAAAACATCTTTTGGTTACTAGTTATTAACAGATTTATAACAGACTATGTTATTTTAATAATAATGTAATAAAATAGTTTTATGTAACATCTACCGTAGATTTCAAGGTTTTTAATTTTTTACAAGAAACAATAACTATTATGGAATTTTGTTGATAGAGATATCTCCTGTTTTCCACTTCAAAGTTTGATGTTTTAACAGGCCAAATTTTTATTTGTTTTCCTTTTTAATTTGGACATATTTTTGAAATAAAAAGCAACAAAAATCATAGAAGATGGTATTTATAACTATTTAAATATCAGTTCAATATTATCAGATCTAACACCTGAAAATGATGCAATATATGTAGGTATGTGACATGAAATTTTCAATCTGATCAAACACTAGATTGTTATATATCATTAAAAAGGTCTTCAATTCAGTATTTTAAAGGTGAAAAAATTATCGAAATTAAACAATTATACAAAAAACTTTTTTCACTACCTGAATACCAGAAACATGATCAAAAGTTGCATCCTCATCAAAACATAAAATTTTTTCATCCAAGGTCCAATTAGGAGTTTTCCAAACAATGCAAGCATGCACATTTCTTTTATGGCAATTTTATTACTAAATGCCCTCTCAGAATTGCTTGCAAACTTTTACATTTTACTGTTCTAACAGTGAGAAAATGTTTAAACTCACTGTAATGCTTTAAAAAATGAAACAATTATGAAAAAGAATATGAAGTTTATTTTCACAATATCTAGGAGCAATGCTTTGTGGTAGATCGTTTTCATCTAAAAAATTTACAAATCTTTTTGGATTATCTTTGACATCTATAAAACTCTTTTTGTTCATGGCTAAAACAGTTTTAACTGCCATACAATAATTTCCAAATAATTGGCAACTCTCACTCTCAAGAGACTGTAACGCTGAGCAACATGAAACTGCATTTGTGTCAAGAGGGTGCAAATGGCAGTTCAGCTCATTCAAATTCTTGCCCCAGGTTGCACAAACTTTGTTTATAGTAAGATGGTTGACTGCAACTCTATCTGACATTGTGTTAAATTAATTTTCAATAATCGAGTTACGATACTCATCAAAGCTACTTTGATTAAAATCTGAATAAACAAATGCCATATAATCAATTGAAGAGCATATATGAATTTCATAATCATTTGCTGTTCCTCCTGAACACTGATCTGGAGCAATAACCAGACGTTTATCTTTAGATGATAAGTAAATGCTATTAATGTGGACACCTTGTGTTGTAGCATCAAATCCAAGAGTAAGATTATTATTATGCATAGCCCACTCCGCTGCTTGCAAATCTGAAATACTGCCAAATTCATGAACCATTTACTCAACAGTACTGCAATGAGGAATATTATTAAAAATAACACCCTTATAATGCCCTATTTTGCTCATAAGATATGGAATGTTACCTGTTGGTACATTACACAATAACATTTTATAAATTATCGTTCTTATTTGTAATGAATATGTTTTTTCATTTTCTGGTATAATTACATTTCTTTCGTCCTCAATCTGAAGAAAATCATTCTCTAAACTAGCAATTACCCTGTTGTTTGTCAAAACAGCAGCATTATGCTTAGTTATGAGTTGCCTTAACTTATGCTTTTTATTTATTTTTAAAGCTTTTTTTTCAGCTTCAAAGTGATGAACCTGCTCACCGTATTATTTTTCTTTGAGATCACATATTTCTGCCCTTAAAGCTTTAATTGTTTTGTCTTTTTGTTTAACATTTTGTCTTAAAACAAGTAATTGATTTGGCATGCTGTTTAATTCAGCTTTTAGTAGTGCTATCTTGCTTCAACATTCTATTTAAGAGTTAGCTAACCGAGAAGACAAGTAAGATAATCTATCTTTTAGCTTTTGTTTTATAGGGCTTATGACTTATTTCTCTCTAAAGATATGTTTATTTAATATTTTATTATTTAATATTTTATTATTTAATATTTTTAGTTTATGTAATATTTACTAAAGATATGTTTAGTAACATTTCGTTCAGTTTAACCTGCAGATGTAGATGGCTTGTGATTTAAAGGATATGAAATATTCATATTGACAAATAAAACATCTGATGAGCCAGATCATAAAACATTATTAGGCAAGTTATATATGGTCTAAAAATAGCTCATTACAAAAGTCAACAAAATGATTATTGTCCTCAAACCTGTGAAAATATCTAGTCCAATTCAATGATTTATTTATGAGACTCCTAACTTGATTTTTACAGTTATATATCTTAAAATATTTAGTGACTTGTTGAGATTTTTTGATTAACAAGCCAATATTTTTTGTAATTATAAAAGAGAGTCCACACACTGTACTGCACTCTGGAATAGAGTCAATACTTAATCGAGGCAATGCAAAACTATCAGTTAAATACTTTTTGCATTCACCATAAAAGACAGGCTTCATTTTGGAGTCATGACAGCTAGGGAAAAAAAAAAAAAATTAAGTAGTTTACTTTTTGATGAATAAAAAATAATAATATATATTTAAAATAATGGTAAATATACTGACATTACAGTTGCTAACTGCTTTACAATTATTTAAATAAATTATATAATCTATATTTAACATCGTTATTGCTATTACTAATACACTCTGTCCCCTCTTCCCAGCCTATGTGTATAGCATTATTAAAACCTAAAATATTTATAATATTAAAATAGTTTAATAGTGTCTGGGTATGCTATTTTTCAATGAAACTTGGCAGGTATTAGAAAATAAGGTTTTTAAAGATGATAGGCTATATTTTAATAATGGTCCAGCATTTCTTTGATATATACTTGATGTCCAAACAACGAGCAAATTCTTACCTAATTAGGGTAAAGTTTAAAGGTGTCTGGGTATGCTTTTTTTTTTTCAATAAAATTTGGCAGGTAGTAATAAAAAAGATTTTTAAAGGTGAGAGGCTATATTTGAAAAATAATCCAGCATTTCTTTGATATATACTTGATGTCCAAACAACAAGGAAATTTTCAATAACAATCAAGTTCATAATAATAAAATTTTACATCAAAAAAATCCATGCAAAATTAAAGTTCCATAATTCTAGTATTCAAAAAAAGTCTATTTTGATACACATTTCTATAAAATAACAGAGCAAAACAAGTTCATACCATGCAACTTTTCAACAAACTTGAAGTGTGTCACAAAATTTGGCCGAAAAAACAGTTCGGTAAAATCCAGATTTACACACCTAATATATGCATTTTCCTGATTTCTTTAAACAAATATCAAACTTAATACGCTACAATTGCATATCAAATTATGCCACTGAAGAATTTACACAAATGTACCACTACTTTAAAACATAAAATTTACCCTACACTATTGGTAAAATTAAAAACATAATTTCTGATTGCCAGGTATGCTGTGAGCTCAAACTAACATTTTTTTAACATGAAAATCATAGAGAAAATTTGCTATAAATCTTGCTGGCTCTTTTCCTTAAAAAACAGTGAACAAGTTCTTTCTAGTCATAATTGGTAAGAATTTCAGATACTCATTTACTTTTGCTCCTAAAATACTTGTAACACTGTAATAAAACACCTTTTAGAATTATCTTTTCTCTTCTGTGCCCCTACTTGCATCTACTCTGACTGAGATACACAGACCTTAAGGTTCTGATCTTGGTCCTCTTTTCTTTTTAAAAAACATTTTATTATAATTTTTAGACATTATTATCCTTACTATTAAAATATTCTTTTAATTTTTTTTTTTGTTATTACTTTAGTCATCATAAGTACTTTTTCCTTTTTAATTTTTTCTTTTTTATTATTATTTAAACTTGCAAATTATAATTTCTACATGTTTATATTTAATGTATGTTCTATGTGCTTTAATCTATGTGTTTATGGACCATGTGCTTTAATGATTGTCTTTGCTTATTATTACTTATATTCAAAAATTGGTGTCACTCCTTTGATCAGTTTTCTGTATGCGTAACACCATCCTAAATTAGGATGGTGTTATGCATAACAATAATAATAGTAATAACAATATATAACAACAACTTATATAAGTTACCAAAACTAATACAAATTATAATAATAGTATTAATAAGTATGTTTACAACAATTATAATGAAAAAAAAAAACTATAATAATAAATATTATAATGATAATTACAAACATAAAGTTATTTATAATAATAAATTTATAATAATAATGATTAATTAGGATTAAAAAAATAATAAAATAAAATAAAATAATCATTAACTTATTATTATAAATAATTTTATGTTTGTAATTATCATAATAATATTTATTATTATTGTTTTTTTATTCATTATAATTGTTGTAAACATACTTATTAATACTATTATTATAATTTGTATTAGTTTTGGTAACTTATATAAGTTGTTGTTATATATTGTTATTACTATTATTATTGTTATCATTATCTAATAAATATTTAATATTCAATTCAACGCCGTTACCCATATGTGAGTGTTTAACATGGTATTCACAGCAGCTTTTACACCCAAGTTAATGGCAGGAAAGAGTTGCAGCACTATTTCTATCAGAAAATGTGAAAGAAAGTGTATGCGAATATCTAGTTTATGTAAACTATAAATTATGTAATGTTAAAACATATATAAAGTTTTACAGTTTTACTTAAACCTTAAAGTTGATTTGCAGCGACATCTCCTTAAATTTGATTTATAGCATTTGTTTACTGTTTTATAAAGTCTTTTGTTTATTAAATACTTTCAAAACTTAAATCAAACAATACAACTAAGTAGCAGAAATGGTTAGGTCACAGCATTCTGATGCATATCGCTATAATTCAAATTTTTTTTTTTAATTTTTTTGATTTTATAAAATAGAAAATAAAACATTTTAGAAGTTCAACAGATGTTTTTATTTTTATTAAGTTTTACTTTTATATAAAAATTGCATTGCAGCAAAATCTCCTTAAATTTGATTTAAAGCATTTATTTGCTATTTTGTAAAATTATTTATTGCATTCTGTCTTGTTTTTTAAACAGTGGTAAAAATCAGCAGTTTAATGTATCTTAGTGGCTGAAGTAAACATGAGGGAATCTGTCAAATTCTGTGTTTTTTTTTTTTTTTTTATAGAAGTTTACAACATGAGTGTTGGAATCTGTCAAGTTCTGTATTTTTTTTATAGAAGTTTACAACATGAGGGTTGGAATCTGTCAAATTCTGTGTTTTTTGTTTTTTTTATAGAAGTTTACAACATGAGGGTTGGAATCTGTCAAATTCTGTGTTTGTTTTTTTTTTATATATAGAAGTTTACAACATGAGGGAATCTGTCAAATTCTGTGTTTTTTTTTTTTTTTTTTATATATATAGAAGTTTACAACATGAGGGAATCTGTCAAATTCTGTGTTTTTTTTATAGAAGTTTACAACATAAGGGTTGGAATCTGTCAAATTCTGTGTGTTTTTTATAAAAGTTTACTACATGGGGGTTGGAATCTGTCAAACTCTGTGTTTTTTTTTGTATAGAAGTTTACAACATGAGGGTTGGAATCTGTCATATTCTGTGTTTTTTTTATAGAATTTTACAACATGAGGGTTGGAATCTGTCAAATTCTGTGTGTTTTTTTAATAGAAGTTTACAATTTTACAATAAGAAGTTATAAAATATTGAATATTAACTGTTAATTCAAAACAAGGATTTGACAGATTTTTTTTCTACCACTATGTAGCGGTTTGTGCAATTACCAAAATATTTAAATATTTAAGTAAAGTATAATTATAGAAATGGTCGTTATATAATAGACTTACCAAGACCGATATTTTACTGGTCCCGAATGCTTGTTGATTTTATTATTATTAATACTATTGTAAAAATGATTAATGGAAAATAAATAGCTTGTTGTTGTGTTGTTGTTGTTGTTGTTATGTTTATAATATGCATATTATATATGATTGTGTTACTGTATATTTTAAGTATATATTATAGTCTTGAAAAGGTCTACAAGAATATAAAATCAATGTAACATCATTGCCAGGAATAGACAGAACGTCTAATCTAAATAACTTATTGCTAATAACTTTAAAAAATTATTGTTACCAACTAGAAGTTTTTTTATTTTGTTTAACACCTTTTTTATTTAATTCATCCATATAATTGTTGCTTTAATAAATGTTTTAATATTATAGTGTCTGATAATGCTTATATGTTATTATTGTTCTATGTTTTAGAGCTCTCTGAGTGAAAAACTCCACATTACATGATAATATAAAGAATACTTTCATATAAAACCTTTCTTCAACATTCTATATAAAAAGTTTGGTAAAGGCTATGTTGTAACAGTGTTATATAAAAATGATTGCAAAGTGTAAATGTAGCAAGCTACATCTCCTTTATATTTTTTTATTAGGATTTGTGAAGATTTATGCTACTGATGTCTTGAATTTTTTTTGTTTTTTAATAAGGTATAAAAGTCTCAAGTCTTTAGCTAAAAAGCTTTTTAAAAAATTATAAAAAAGAAATAGTTATCTAAGCTTTGATTTAAAAGTATATAATTAAATTCATCTGTAATATAATTAAATTCATCTGTAATCTGTAATCAGAGATTTAATAATATTTTTACCATGTTTAACTTTTTGATTATTTAATTATTTTTTTATTAGGATCCAATCAGTAATTGGGAATCAAATATTGAAAGATCAATATGGGGTTCAATACTTGATGATCTACCTGATGAAATCTTGAGCACTGAAATAGACAATCATTTAAATAATTTTCAAAATGCTTCAAGACATGAAAATGATATTGTATTGGAAAATGTGATAAATAGTTTAGATGATGAAAGTTGTTTATTGACTATGTGCACAAAAGAGATACTAAATAATATTGAAACAGATGAGAACTATGGTGAGGCGGCTGTTTTTTATTTTTGTTTAACATTTTTCTTGAGTCGGATAATAAAACAATAAACACCTTTTATAGAACATGGGTGCCCTTTTTATAGAATGGTTGTTATTTTTATAGATAATGGTTGCCACTTTTTAAATAACTGAGTTGGTGCTTTTTAAATAATTGGTTTTAATAGTTTTGTCTTTTGAGAAAGATTTTTTGTTTTTAAATTATATAATGTCTTAAATGTCAAATATTCGTTGAGATTTTTTAAGTAAAATTTAAAAGTAAAGTAATAATAATGACATAATGAAATTAATAACGCTACACTGATTTTCATTATAGTACTTGTTGTTTCATTCTAGTACCTGTTGTATTTTTGTTATCATTTTTGTTCTTATAAGATTTTTAAAATAGTTTTTTTTTCGATGCTAGCTACCTTTCTAGTTTATATTTATAGTATATATGGGTACATAATTTTATCAGCTATGTTTTTGAGATTTAAAAAGGGGCAACCGTAAGAAAATATTTGTGAAAGAAATTTCTCTAAAATAATAATTATTAAATAAAATAATTTTTATTACATAAAAATCAAAAATTTCCAGACACCAAATCTCAGGAAAAGATTTCACCAACTTCAAATGATTTTAATTTATCAATTTCAAATGAGTCTGATGAAGTTGAAAAGTCTGTTCAGTTGCTTCCTTTTCTTCAAAATTTTCTTCAAAACTCTAGCATAAAAGTTGGGGAAAATGTGTTTTTTATTCAAAAAAATCAAGTTGCAACTTCAACGCCATCTGCATCACACTACAGTGATATTGCAGTACAGCAAGTTAACATTTCAACACCAACAGTTTTTTCTCAAAAATTCTCTCTGCAGAACCTTGCTGGTTTGTCAAAAACCAGTACTTTGAACGATAAACAAAATGAAATCTTGACTTCAGTAAGTAAAATCAAAAACGCGAAACAACCTAACAATATTGAGGATCATAATTATTTTAATGGTGTAGCTAGAGATGCAATTGGAACAAATTCAGAAAAGCAGGTTTAAAATAAATTTTTTAAGTTTTCATATAAAATAGTAATTTTTTCTTGAAGTTTATTGTATTTTTCATACTGTAAATTATGTATTTATTATACTATTTTCTATTTCTGTTTATAAAATTTAGTTTTGGCAGATACACAAATAAAGTTGTGAAAAATATGAATTTAGATTTTTTAATAATAAATTATGCTTACATAATTACACAAATTTTTTCAAGTTAATATTTAAGTATAATGTTTAATTAACAGGAATCAATGTTAAAATTAACTGACGAGGAAAAACGCTTACTTGAACTTGAAAATGTTGTATTACCAGAAAACTTTGGGCTTACAAAAGACGAAGAGAAAATTTTGAAAAAAGTGAGAAGAAAAATAAAAAACAAGGTTTATACATATTTTAACTTTATTTTGTTACTAATATTAACTATTTTATATGTATATTTAAATATTAATTTCTAAAGTATAATTTTTTCTCCTCATTGTTGATGTTGAGAGAATCTAGTCCATATCGTTATTCCATTTAGTTATTGTATAGTTGTATATATATATATATATATATATATATATATATATATATATATATATATATATATATATATATATATATATATATATATATATATATTGTTTTATCTATATTATTTTATCTATATTATTTTATCTATATTATTTTATATATATTATTTTATCTAGTATTTAATCAAAGCATTCTTTATGCTATTTTGATTTTGATTTAAATAGCAGAAAAAAATGAATTTTTGAAATCGCACAGACTAACTTAAAAATGACAATCTTAGCAGCTCTGACCACACAACTTTTTTGAACTGCCACACAACTTTTTTGAACTGCCACACAACTTTTTTGAACTACCACACAACTTTTTTGAACTACCACACAACTTTTTTGAACTACCACACAACTTTTTTAAACTACCACACAACTTTTTTGAACTACCACACAACTTTTTTGAACTACCACACAACTTTTTTGAACTACCACACAACTTTTTTGAACTGCCACACAACTTTTTTGAACTACCACACAACTTTTTTGAACTACCACACAACTTTTTTGAACTACCACACAACTTTTTTGAACTGCCACACAACTTTTTTGAACTACCACACAACTTTTTTGAACTACCACACAACTTTTTTGAACCACAATTTATTAAATTACTGTAAAACTAGTTTAATTAAATGATTTGCTCAAAACAATCTAGAAATGTTTTTATGTAATAATTTTTTTTTTTTATGAGTCTATTTTATTAATTAATTTTTTATCAATTGTTTGTCATTTTTTTATTGAATTTTCTTGAAAATTTTTTTTTTTAATATTTGGATTGAATTAAGGTTTATTTCACTTCAAGTTTATTTATTGCAATTTGAGTTGTTTTTGATAATTTAATTTTGACAATCGCTACTCTCTTGCAATCTTTTTTTTAAAGTTTATTTGCAATATTTTTTATTGGTTGATAAACTGAAGAGAATTAAGTTATTACAAAATATTTAAGATCGCTGTTCTTTATCAGCAGAAAATGTCAAAATAATACTTCCAGCTTGTCATAAAGAAAGATTTGATTTACCACACGATTGTCTTTTTTTAATATATATATATATATATATATATATATATATATATATATATATATATATATATATATATATATATATATATATATATATATATATATATATATATATATATATATATATATATATATATGTATGTATGTATATATATATATATATATATATATATATATATATATATATATATACATATATATATATATATATATTTATACACATACATACATACATACATACATACATTCACAGGGGCGTGTCTAGGGGATACCAATAGGCTACGTCGTTGGACGTACCCAAAAAAATTAAATTAAAGTTTTTTAACTTGATTATATTGTTGAAAAAAATCTTACTATATGTAACTATTAAAACCAAACTACAGCTAAAACTAAACAAATTATGCACGGTTAATTATCTGAAACGGTTGGGAAAAAATTAAAAACCGGAAAACGGTTCAAATTCCAAAATATTAAAAACTGAAAAATATTATATCGGTTTCATAATTTTGCGATTGTTAAAAAATAATAATTACAATATTTTGATGGAGGTTAAACTAACTTTTGAGTTAAATAACTTAATTAGAAATTGAATTGAAATACCTTATTTTATTTTGTTATATAGAACTTTATTTTTTTAATTTTTTTTTTCATTGGTTTAAAAAAAATTAAAATAATTATTTTAGTTAAAACAAACTTTGAACTTCTCTTTTGACATACACCCTGAGTAGAATTTTTATCAAGTTTTATTGTTTAACTATCACCAGGAGGTAAAATTTGTTAGTAACAACAAGTATATATTAAAATATATCAATGGACATCCCCAATTTTTTTACACTAAACTGTGTATCATTTTAATAACTTGCATTTGAAGTAATAAATAAGGAGAAAAACGGTTTCAATTGTAAAAAATAAATTTTTGACTTCCCCTTTGACAAACACCCTGAGTAAAATTTTTGTCAAGTTTTATTGTTTAACTATCATCAGGAGGTAAAATTAGTTTGTAACAACTAGTATATATCAAAATATATCAGTTGACATCCCCTGTTTTATTACACTAGATTGTGTATCATTTTAATAACTTGCATTTGAAGTAATAAATAAGGAGAAAAAAGATTTCAAATGTGGAAAATAAATTTCGGACTTCCCTTTTGCCATACCCTGCTTAATTTGTGTTTTATTAAATTAATTAATTTTATTAAACATATAACATGGCCGATGATTACTTCAAAATGTCGCTTAATTCGCAAGCTAATATAGCATTTTAAAGAAAAAGTTAGTATGTTAAAGAAAAGCATCATTTCCTATAAAGTTAGGCGAACAAATATTATATTAATTGTGTAGAACTTTTGATATCACGATATCCTTTTGATACAAGAAAGGAAGACAGAAAGTTGTTACAAGTAGAAGCTGTTTATAGTTGCATCGATAAAAACTAGTATTTGGTTTTCTTTAATAATCAAGAAGAAAATTTTAGACTTATTAAGTATAAATTTTAATTAGCCATATTGTTTATCCTTTATGAGAATCATGATAATCGTAATAGGAACTATGATGAACCGCATAAAAGAAAAACTTGTTTACTTAGTATTTTAATAAAAGCTATTACTGATTTTTCTTTGGGTGTTATGAAATGTGAAATTGTGGCATGGATACTTTACAAAAGTTTTTTATGCCTGTGGTTTTTTGTCTCAAAGAATGTCAAAAATGGTGCAGCCCCTGCTACTGCTTCTTCTACTGAAGTTAATAACAAATTTTGATTTTATTAATGCACTGTGTATAACAAGACATGTTTTTAAAATAACTTTTTTAATTACAATTTTGCAAGCAAGTAATAATGATAATTTTTATAGTTTAAATCTTATTGAACCATTAAAAGTTTTTGTCTCTATAGTTAGAAATATTATTAATCAACACCTTCAAATATGCTTTAAACAAGCCTAAAAATTGCATTTCAAATTATTTTAACTTGGTTATCGCTGTTTCTTGCTAGACTATCTAGATTACTGAGTTTAACACATTTGATTGATACAATTTTGAAGTGTTATAAGCACCTGTGTTTTAATTTCTTCTTTCTAATATTCAGTTATACTAGTTGGGAAGACCAAATCATATGTTTTAGTGTCTTTTGTTTAACCAAAGGCTTTATTAGGTTTATTTATTATTTCCAAACCAAAGGCTTTATACTTAAATTTAATCTGTGGGAAGTTTAGATGAATTTCACTTAACTGCCTGAATTTTAAAAATGAACTTTAATCTAATAATACTGAAACATTACAAGCAACAAACCTTTTTAAGTTTGTTATAAATACTTATGAGTTGTGTTTTAAATAAAATTCAAATACAATAAAAGTATAACTTCAAATGTTTGAGCTGCTTTTTGGTAAACAGCTTTTTTCATAGCTGACATCTTTGTAAAAACATTTAGCATTGTACAGTTATTGCAATAAGTTTTTTGACTTTAAGTATTTATAAAGTTTATTTATAATTAAATATTATTTATAAAGTTATATAAAAAAATTTACGCAGCAAAATCTTGTATTAATCTTGTAAATTGTTTTTACAAATCTTGAAAAAAATTTTAATTTGTATATATTATACATTACGACAACTGAGTATTTTCAAAAAATAGTTTTTTAGTTTGCAAATATCATATTTTGAGCATTAGTGACCATTTTATCAATGTCACAAGTCATTTAAAGAATAAAAACATTTTTATAAAATTATAAAATTATAAACATTCAGTCCGGTCAAAATCCAATCCCCCTCCCCCTCTCTAGAAAAATAGTGAGGCAGAGGGGATATAGTTTTTTTTTTTTTTTTGGACTTACCCAAAAAATTTCCTGTACACGCCCCTGTACATACATACATACATACATGCATGCATACATACATACATGCATACATACATACATACATACATGCATACATACATACATACATACATACATACACACTACATTTAATAAATGTGTCAATTAATAAAAATTTATTTGAAATTCACAGCAATCTGCTATGGAGAGTCGCCGAAGGAGAAAGGAATATATTGACAGTCTTGAACAAAGGTGTTTTTCATAAACTTTGAAAGTTTTTATAATCATTAATTGGAAAGCTAAAATGTTTTCAAACATTTTTAGAGTAAAGAACTGTACAGACATCAATCTAACTTTAAAAAAAAAAGTTGATTCTCTAACTGATGAAAACAAGTAACATATATTTATTTAAATTTTTTTGTTTAACACTAAATATTTATAACTTATTATCTCATATTCATGAGTACATATCCTCGCAGTTGGAAAGTCGTGAATATGCAAACGTGAATATGCAAAATAACACGTGAATATGCAAAATAACAATAGCGCAAGTTGTTACCATCTTGGATGGGGAAAACAAATGATTGGTTGAGTTAATAAAGCAGGACAATTATTACGAAAAAGTGGTTTAAAGAGTTTAAAAAAAGAAATATCAATTTGCGAATATTTAAAAAAAACATATTTACAAAACATATTAATATATATATATATATATATATATATATATATATATATATATATATATATATATATATATATATATATATATATATATATATATATATATATATATATATATATATATATATATATATATATCCTACCATTCATACTATTAGTTTAGGTTATTATATTAGTTTTAAGAATTTTAAAAAAATTATATTCTTTCCTTGTTTTAGTCAGTTTCTCTGTTGTTGTTTTTTTGGGGGGTTTTTAATATAGTCTTTAAATAATCCTTTTAACTATAAATTTTAAAAATATTTTTATGTAAAAATAATAAAAAGATTTTTAATTATTTTTAAATAAAATTATTTTGCTTTTAAAGAAGATTCACTTTGAAAATAAGTATAGATTTTTTTGGATTTGCATCCAGATAATAAAATAGGAAATCTTTTTCAAATGAAACATATGAAATCAACTACCTATAATGTAATGTAAAGAATGGAAAGCAACCTAGGACCAGTAGGACAAGTTAAAAGTGGTTGCAAAGCAAAAAAGATATCTTCAAAAAAGATATCTGTTAATAAAAAAGATGCTAATTCACAGTTTTGCAAATCTGATTAATATACCAAAACCATACATGTGTAAAATTATTTAAAATTAAAAATATTATCATTACTAATATATGTAAAATTTAAAAATTTATATATTTACATGTAATTAATTTATATATATATATATTTATTTTATAACTAAAATGAGTATTTATTATCACTAAAATATAACTAAGATCAATAGTGCAAAAAGCAGCTGTTTGTTTGAAATGCAAAAAAAATGTATATATTTTTGTCAAAATATGTTTTTTATTTGAACAGCACCAACATTTTTGAAATGCTGGAAATGCTGGACTCAATTGTTCTGAGATAAATCATTAATCATTCTGTTAAAACACTCCATATTTTTTCTGCTTTTTAGTCAAAACAAATTTAAAAAAAAAAATGTATATAATAAATTTTCGAAAGTATTACATAAAAATTTATTATTTAAATATCAGATGAATAATGTTTAGATTTTAGTGAAAAAATCTAAAAAATTTCCAAGAATTTCCAAATTTTTCTAAGAAGTTTAAAATTGTACTTTAAAAGTTAGAGATAATTATGTTTTAAGGTTATGATTCTAGGTCCCTATTATTATGTTTAAGTTTATGGTTCTAGGTCCCTATTATTATGTTTTAAGGTTATGATTCTAGGTCCCTATTATAATGTTTTAAGGTTATGATTCTAGGTCCTTATTATTATGTTTTAAGGTTATGATTCTAGGTCCCTATTATAATGTTTAAGGTTATGATTCTAGGTCCCTATTAAAGCAGTTAAAGGAACTTCAGAAATTTTTTTCAACTTCAGTGCAACAAAGTCACAACACAAAAAAAGGAACTTGCTTTGCAGTATACAATTTTATTTTTTTTTAATTAAATTGAAATTCTTATAAATATAAAAACTTGTTAATTAAAAAAATTTATTCAAATATTCTTATAAATTTTGTAAACTTTAATTAAATATTTTTAAATCTAATATCAGGTTCTTGCTTTGACGTTTGGATTGTTATTTCTTCCATTTAATTCAATGTCTGGAAATATTTTAAAAAGTTCAACAGAAGTCCCAAACCAAGCAAATGTTTGTAAGTTGTTTGTCATGATTTTTGTATGGATTATTTTTTGTAAAAAATAATTGTTACTAGTCATTTTAAAAATGAATTATAAATGTGATTTTTGTTTAGAAAATTTAGTTAACAAGTCATTTACTTATTTAACAAGGCTGTTGGTTGAGCGGTTACAAGGCTGTTACCGCTCTTTTCTTGGTCTGACTTTTGGACCCTGCTTTCTTGGGCTGTTTTTTTGAAACCTGTTTTCTTTGTTAAAAAAGTAATTTATGACAGGTTGTTACTGTTCTTGTTTGGTCTGACATTTGAATCCTTTTTTCTTGGTCTCTCTTAAAAAAAAAGATTAGATTATTAAGGCAATAATAAGAAATAATTTATGAATTTACAGATTATGTTATATCTAAAAAATGAAACACTGCAAGTATACACTTTTACAAGAATGTAATTGAGAACAGAAAAGTTGTAATTAAGAAACAAAAGATGTAATTGAGAACACAATTGTTGTAATTAAGAAAAGTTTATAATATAGATACTCAAAACAACATTATTTGTATTTCTGATTTTTTAGCTTTAATTTGCTTTGTAATTTTAGCCTTAGCTGGATCCACCTCTGGCAAAGTTGGCCAAATGATACACAATTCAAATGGGTTGGCCAAATGATACACAATTCAAATGGGTTGGCCAAATGATACACAATTCAAATGGGTTTCAATGAATAATTAAATATCAATAAAATAAAAAATTTATAAAAAAAAACATTTTACAATGTGGCAGTAACTGGAAAAATCCCATCATTCAGATTAATAATAATAAATAAAATATAAATTAATAATAAATAAAATACAAAATAATTTGTTTACAAAAAAATTAATAAATTTAAACAATATTATTAAAAATCACTGCAATGTTCATTTAAACATCAACTTGGATGTCTTCAATATTATATGTGGTCATGTGATGTATAGCACGTGCACAAGCAACTCACAATATTGTTTGTTTTGTTTTTTTTGCCGCAGTAACAATTCTTTCTAAATATTGTATTCGTTGTTCTACAATTTCAGCATCATTGGAATGTGAATCGATTTTTTAATGTTATTTTTAGTTTGGACCAGATTGTTTCCACTGGGTTTAACTATAGTCATAAAAAGAATAGTCTGGAAACACAGACAGTTTTTTAACAAATTTCATTGTTCAAGTTGAATATTTGGTGGGCTGCGGGAATATGGCGCAAAACAAACTCTATGATGGCTGAAAGTTCAGAAGATTTGAATTCTTTGCTTAAAGACAAGTTTAATTCTATTTTTGCAATTATTGATTAGGATTTGTTAAATGACATTGCTAAAAAATAACATGCTTCAGATAAACTACAAATAACAATTCCCTGTCAAAACTCTATGGGGTCTCACTCGTTATGTTAATAGTAATCATTACAATGCTTTATCAAATAATTCTAACGTTTTAAAAGATATTAGTTAAACTATCAGAAGAAATTCTTGATCTTAAAGACTATAGATATATTTAGAAAGAACTGTTGCAAAGCTTTCATCAGATAATTGTTATAAGTCCACATAAAATCATTTTAAAGGTTATGTTATGAACTTGGATATAGCTAACACAGTATACCAGGTTATAAAACCAGTTATATTTTTATTTCAAGGAAATGCCAAAAATTTCTATCCAGATTTTTACAAATGTGTCTTTGACAATATTTATTAAATTTTTATAGGATTAAATTCACAGTGTTTAACATTATATATTACTTGGATTTGAAGTATGTAACCATGTACTGTCACATCTTTCTGGTCAATCAGTTTTGATTTCGATGCAATCTCATCTGGGAAGACTCGTGTACTTTCATATAGGGATCAATCTGTTACTGTTTATTTATGTGGGTATTTTTTTAGCACATATTATCACATCAAGTTTTCAGAAATTTTTAAGAAATCTATTAACAATATCTATTTTACTTGTTGCTCAATATCAAGAAACATGATTTGCCTGAGCACAAAATTGTTAACACGCGTAACAGATCAGGCCTGTGGAAAATCAAAATACAAAACAACCTTTAAAGATATGGTTAGTAAATCTATCAATAAAATTGACATCAAAGATGTTCTATCCTCACTTTTTAAAGATACAAATGTTTTATCCAATTTTTTAAAGATTAGAAGTGAAACTGATACTTTTGTTAGTATAGAGGTTTATTTAAATGTTCTTGAACAACAACATTTAAACAAACCTCTTTATTAACTAAAGTATCAGTTTCACTTCTAATCTGTGAAAAATTGAATAAAGCATTTGTATAATAAAATGTTACACATAAAACAAATTCAAGATATCTTCAAACAAATCTTGAATTTGTATGTACAAGCAAGGGCATTTTTCTATGTCAAGGATAATCTAAAGGCTTACAAAGTTAAAGTTCAACAACTTAAGTTCAAGTTACTGTGAACTTCACTAAAGAAGAAGAGTTCTTATTAATAAGTATAAGTTATATGTAAGATCAACAATATGTTAATTTCATATTTGACAATTTGAAACAATTATCTGATATTATCTCAATTTTAAAAACAGCTCTTAACATAGCTACAAATGGTTAAAAATATTTTTTTGGTATCAGAGTATTAGTACTATTTATCTATTAATTTTCCACAATCAACCTAATTAAATTTGGTTTTTGATAAATTAGTTTTCCACAATCAATCTAATTTATCAAATAAGGATTTTGCTTTGCAAAAAACTTTAATTATTAGGAGTTGAAATCAAAAGATATGACCATATAAAATATGAATTTTTATTTTGCTTCAAGCATTGTATTTTAGTTAAAATCTTTATTAAAAAAAAATGTTTGTTTTGCACCTTAAAGTAGGCTGGGTACTAACCAGAGTTAAAAAAAGTATTTTTTTTAAAAAGAAAAACACAAAAACCATGGTTTTTTTGTAAAAAAAAAAAAAAAAAAAAAGCCATGGTTTTTTTTGTTTTAAACTGCTTTTTTTTTTAAAAAAAAAAAAAAGCCATGTTTAGTGAACTTTTTCAATTAAAAAAAAGCATGAGTTATCTTACTTGAGTAATTTATATTTTCTATTAATATTACTGCTGTAATTCATCAACCAATACATTTATTGTTGATCAAATTGATAACATGTTTATCGTTTTGATCAAGCTATAGCGTTTTCATGTTGTTTTTTTTTGTTTTTTTTTTTGAGTAACCACCAATTATATGAATTATAGAAAAATTTTCTCTCCGCATCATACCTCACTGAGCGATTTATTTATTTACATTTTAATTAATATTATATTGAAAATCTTTTTGATCTTTTTCGCATGTAAAAATGTATAATGTACTTGGCATTATTATTATTTAATAGATATGTAATTAAGTTTCAATTATTGCTAGCAGTGATTTAGTTTCAAAATTATAAATCAATTTTAGATTTTTATTATAGAATTTTTGAGACCATCCTTTAACTAGAAATGCTAATGTTTTTTCATATTTTTTAGATGATAGTGTAGACATGCCTATTAAAATAATCAAGCCTACTTACTATTTATTCTTTAGTCCGTTCTCGAACATTACTTCACTTGAAAAAACAGAACAATTATGAGGCATTTGAAAATGATGCTGTCTTACCTCATTCAGATATATACAACAGAACATATTTAACAAGCGATTTTAAAGTATTCTCCGAAGAGATGCGTAATAAAATAGAACAACTTTTAACCGAAGACAGCGGGAGCAACCTGCTTAAGACGACTCTTGATGTTTACATGAACTCAATTAAACTTTCCCGTAATTGGGAGCTTAAAAAATTAGATCCCATCAATGTCTTAGAGTTTCACCAAGATGACGTGTCATCATACTAGTTCAAACATGATGAAGATGTCAGATGTTGTGTCATCATTCTAGTTCAAACGTGTTTTGTTTTGTAATAAAATACTTTTTTTAAAGATTTTAGTTGATACATTTAGTCGATTTGTAATAAAAGCGCAAATACTTACATGCATTTACCTGTCAGTAATGTTTATTTATTCAACATTTTACTTTTATTAAACAATTATGTAATATATACTTTTTTTTTTTTTTAAATAACAATATAACTAACAATTATCACAATGACGAGCACAATATATAACTTGACATAGCAATTTTTTTTATTTTTTATTTTTTTTTTGCTTTTCTTATTCGAAGTTTTTTGTAATTATTAGAGCGCAGTTAAGTTTCCTGGTATGAAATCCTGTTTGATAAAATAGCGATCAGTGTTAAATAATGTTTTAGTGTAAATTTAAAAAAAATCCAGCGATAAATATTAGTTTTTGACATGAATAAATTTTTATGAAAGTATGTATAAACTTATAGAGACTTTGCACTTTGCACTTTCTTTTTTTTTTTTTTAAATACTAATAAAAAAGTTTGAATGCTCCGAACTGCCTTTTTTCCTTTCGTCTAAAAAGAGATATACTATCATCAGGAGCTCTTGAAGATCATACTGCTATCTGGATAGCAGTATGATCTTCAAGAACAATCAGTAGAACTTGCTGGATAACAATAAAGAAGTCACAAATCAAAGAAAAAGTCACCAAATTATTCTGACTAGTTATTGAGAAATATTTGTTTAAAAATGTAGGTAAAAATGCATATTTTTTGCTGACTTGTTTTTCGATATTCAAAGTTTTTATTATATTTACTCTAAATGCTTTTTTAATACAAATAGTTTTTTACAAATATTGCATTAAAGATAATTATTTTGACTGCTTAAATTTTTATGGGCTTGTACCACCTTAGGTAATTTTTGCATATATATCGAAATAAATTCTTGACTATTAAGAAATAAGACGTGATAGATTTTGGGAATATTTTTGATAAGTTTCTAATCTTTTTAAAAATAAACATTTTGAAAGTTTTGCACAAAGTTGATAATAAATAAGTTTATAATTAACTAAGTTATTTATAAACTTAAATTATGTATGTTTTAATTTCAAGTTATTTATAAACTTAAATTATGTATGTTTTTAATATAAAATTAAAAACAGGTCATTCAACCACCGGATTAAAGAAACTTGTCAGAACTATAAACATTAAGCAGCAAGATGGTGAAGCCATCTTACATGGTAAAGCCATCTTACATGAATTTTCATTACTTTGAATGAATTAGCTTTACTTTTCATAGAATTCACAGCTTACGGTTTACAATAATCATCTTAATCTTTAAATGCTATTAGTTTAGAAACTATGAATTTTGATATCAAATACCAGAAGTTCACGCGTTTAGATATGATAGAAAAATTATTAGTAGTGGAGGCCGACTTAACTTCATAACAAATAAAGTTGCCTCAATATCGAGTTCGTTGTCAGAGAAACCTGTCAACGCAAAATTTTTGAACGAGTTTAAAAACATTTATGGTTTTATGTTTAAATCAAAAAATAATTTGCTCCCAAAAATATTTTATAATTAATTCCAACCTATTGATCATAAATACAAAACAAAACATTCTAAACAGAACTACTATATTCCAAATATGTCCTTGAGACAATCTAAATTCTAAATATCTAGAAGAGGACCACAATGTTGGAACTAATTTCTCACAAATGAGATTAAAACGATAAACTCGATTCAATATTTTAAATGCGTTGTTAAATAACAGTTACTTGACCTCAACATTTCTGAAATAATCTCTTATTTTTAAAACTTTTACACATCTCGAAACTTTTTCCATTTACACAATAGCTGGAAATGTTTATGGCTATATTTATAAAAAAGCATTAAGTAGTACGTAACCCTAAGCGTTAAGTAGTACGGGTTACTTTGAACGTTTTTGAGATATTTTTACTTGCTCTTCCTTCACTATTAACAATATTCGAAATTTAACAAAATGAATATAGGAGCTAAGATTGACTCTTACATAATTCAAATTCAAAATAATATTTAAATAAAAGATTTTGCATAACATTAATTTAAATAGTCATTCAAAGTTACCCCACAAATGGGATAACTTTAAATGCGTTTTTTGTAAAAAAAAAAAACTATTCAAAAACGCCTTGTTTTGTTATAAAATTTAATAAAAACAACAGTCTAGTTTCACAGTCATTTTTTATTGCTAAAATAATATTATTTTAAAACAAACACCCATTTAGAGTTTTATTTTGTTTTAATGTGTATGTTTTAAGTGGACTAGCATAAAAAAAGTCTCATTTACATCAGTTTTACAGACTATGCAAGTGGAACATCTTTACATTTTTCAAAAAAAACATTTCCCTTTGAGCCTGCTTTTTCCTAGACATCAACATGAAAAAATCGTTAAAGTACATTAATTACCGCTTGGCATACTATAGTTATAACTACCATCTGGCAAATGATTGGACAAGATATTTATATCTAATAGGTATATACCATATTTCTTCCAAAACTACTAAGCTACTATGCTGCTTATAACCTTTTGGTTTGACAAATATAATAATTATAAGTAAATAAAGAACAAAGGAGATTTATTTCTTGTAAATGTCTATGCTTTTTTTAAACAAAAAGTTTTCAATTGATCAAGTTTTTTACTCCAAATTTTTTTCATCATATAATCCATAAAATGCAACATCAAGAGATTGCAATAAATGGGTAGAGTTACCAGATACTGTTTTCTTCTCAACAAGATACTATTTTCTTTTGTAAATTCAAGTACTTTTTCACTTTAAAGACTGCTTCAATTATAACTAATTAGAATGTTTCTACAGTTTGACAAAAAATAACCAATATCAAACCAGTCAAAAAAGTGAATAGAATCAAGCCGTCCGGACTTTGATTATATTTTTTATTGTATATACATTAGGTGGTCCACTTGGATTCTTGTTTTGCATAAATGGTCACCTTTATAAACATAATCAAAGACAATTTGACCAGAGGTACTACACATGATTGACATAACATAACATATTGCACAGTTGCTATATTTTACATATTTGTAAAAACTATGGATTTTCCATGTGTTTTCGGATTAAGTTTATAAACTTTATAATACAAAGAGGCAACTTGCACCCAATGAACATCTAATAATATTTTTCTCTAATAATGTTTATTTTTACTATAAAATTCGTAAACTGGCACTCAGCATAATTTATATACTGCTTTGTATATAATATGTGTGTGTACAATATGTAAGTGTTCTGTAAAAACAGCATATACACACAAACACACACAAACATATATAAGAATGTATATATATATATATATATATACATTCTTATATATGAATTTATACATCTTTTATAAATATTATTTATATTTTACTGTATACTTTTAAAACGTTTAAAAATATAGATGTTAATACAATGTAAAAAAAATAGGGTTAAAATAGTTATTTTTTTACTTAATTTTAAAAGCAAACTGAGATTGAAAGTAAATTAGTTTTAAAAGTATATAAGAATGTTTCGAGTGTCAATAAAAAAGTTGTTAACAGAAACGTTTTTGATCAATAAATTGATAATAGTACATGTACCAAAAAAAAATTATTATAAAAATTATCGGTATTAAATAATTGAACAAGCATGTAACCATTATTTAAAAATAGTGACCGAATTTTACAGTAATTGGTGACGTTTTGAGATATAAGTAACCAAAAAACTAATAAAATTTGAACTAAAACTGCCATAAATCCCTTACCAGGTAATTATTTATTTATTTCTATTTGAAAAATGTACAAAATGGTGAAAAAGATAATTACTAAATTACTCTTTTGTAATACCAATAAAAACAAAAAAGAAAATTCAATATCAGTAAATTAAATAAAAACAAGTTAGTAGACTGTATGACAATTTAAACTTTTTTAAATTCGATTAAAATGCTGACAGTTAGGGCGGCTATATTTTTTCAAAAATACTAAATATGTGCATATATATATATATATATATATACATATATATATATATATATATATATATATATATATATATATATATATATATATATATATATATATATATATATATATATATATATATATATATATATATATATATTTAGTAAATACCAAAATATGTATATAAATACCAAAATATGCATATATATATATATATATATATATATATATATATATATATATATATATATATATATATATATATATATATATAGTGGTCACTATGTGGTCATTCACTATGTGGTCAGGAAGTGAGTTCCATACTTTAATGATTCTTTCGCTGTAAAAAATCTTCTAGTATCATTAATGTATTTATTACGTAGAGTAAACTTCTGTGAATGACTTCTAGTAAAATATTTCGAATTGGAAAAAGTGAAAAAAATCTGAAAATGATAAATTAACGAGGTTATGTTCAATTTTATAAAGATCAAATTTAACTCTGCGATACTAAAGAGATTCTAGTTGGAAAACACTTGAAATACGAAAGCAATGATCAGAGAACTTTGTATCAAAGAACATGGTGATTCCAATATACTGAATTGAATAAACAGTTTCAATATTGATAACGGAGTTTAATGAATATGGATGAGTATATTATATCTTCCGTAGCATTAATAAAAAGATTTGTTGATTGCTACATTTAGTTACCAATCATTGGACCATGCCAAAAAAATTTTAAAAGTGTTTACAAGATCAATGTTGTTGCAATCATTTCTCGATTGATACAACCTAATATCATTTGCAAAGAGCTTAATGCCACAATCTCTATCAGTGCAATAAAATATGTCGTTAATAAATATTAGGAACAATATAGGTCCTATTACAGTTCCTTGTGGTATTCCACTAATAACTGGAGTATTTTCAGAATATGAGGTACCAAAACACACACATTGAAGGCGATTCGTCACAAAATTTTTAATCCAATTAAATAGTTCGTATTTAATTTCACAGCTGCTGCAATTTGAACATTAGTTTAGGATGAGTTACCGAGTCAAAAACTTTTTTCAAAGTCAATATAGATGATGTCAAATATTTTTTTGTGATCTACGGCAATGATCCATTTGTTCAAAGTTGCCAGCATTTGTGAACATGTGGATCTGCGATTTATTA